GGGGCACACCTATAACCCTAGCTATCTGGGAGGCTGAAAAGGATTGCAAATTTAAGGCCACTGTGAGCAACTCAGCAAGACTCTGTCTAAAAATTTAAAAAGGGGGAGTTGCTGCAGATGGACCTCAGGCTCCCTGGGTTCAGTCCCCAGTACTGCAAGAGTAAGTAATTATTAATAACTAAGGAATCATGGGATATCTATATAATGGACTACAGTGAGATAGGTCTTTATATGTTTATATAAAAAGATCTTTAAAATAATGTCACTTAAAAACAAAAATCAAGATGGAGAACTGTACTTTGTGTTTAAAAAAAAAAACTGCACACAAAACTATTCTGCATGTCAGAATATACACAAAATATTCCCTGAAAACTATGCAAGTAGTTATATTTGAGGGTAGGATGCCTAAGATCAAGGATGGAGGTATGAGAGAAACTAAAATTTACTTTTCAATTTATTCTGTTATGTCTGGATATTTTACTATGTGTATATATTATTTATATAATTTTAAATTTATATATTTTAAAAATAAAGAGTATATATTTGTGTCAAAAGATATGGAGCTAGATATGGCAGCACATACTGCAATCCTAACTACTTGGGAGGCTGAGGCAGGACAACTACAGGTTCAAGGCCAGCACAGGCAACTTAGTAAGGCCCCCATCTTGACAAAAAAAAGGGTGGGGATGTAGCTCAGCACTTCCTGAGATGAATCCCTAGTATGGCGATGTGGAGAGGGAGGAAAATATGGAAACAGAGATTTACTTTGGACAAAGAACTGAAGGAAACCAAGGTGACCAAGGACACCATGATAGAAAGTACTCACGGTGAGTTCTAATTCCAACAGTGTAGTTACACATAACAGAGGGAATTCATTTGCCTCCCCACCCTTTCTTCTTCAATACAGGGCCTTCCCACTGAGCTATATCCCTAACCTCTTTTAATTTCTGAGACAGAATCTTACTAAATTACTGAGGTTGAGCTCAAACTTGCAATCTTCCTGTCTCAGCCTACCAGAAGGCTGGGGTTACAAGGAGTGTGCCAATTATCCCCAGCGCATTTGGCTCTTTTATGTTATTCAGGATGCATCGTCTTATAGTTTATAGTTCAGTGACAACCTCTCTTAATGAGTACTCTAATCTTTTTTCTCTGACTGTGTCTAGTCACATGAATGGAACAGTGGACCAAAGTGAAGTAGGATAACAGACTTTGCTCTGAGGGAACATATAAAACATCTAGGTAAGTTATAAACATAGAGAAAGAAAAATTAAGTACAGTAATACAAAATAAGTATCTGGAAAGTGTAAACACAATTACTGAATTTGACAAAATGAGAAAGTACTATAGGCTGCAGTGCTTGCAAAAAACTTCGAGTATTGATATGGTTGTGATTTCTTCATGAGACACAGACACACTTCATGAGAAGTTTTAGCACAGGGCAGGCACATGGAAGCAGTCAACCACTAGAAACAACATAAAAAACAAGGGGGACTGAACAGCTCAAGTTACATGGAATTTCAAAAGAAGAAAGAAGTTCAAATATATGAACACGGGCTGGGGATTTAGCTCAGCAGCAAAGCGCCTGCCTGGCAAGAGCAAGGTCGTGAGTTCGGTTCCCGGTACCGGAGAAAAACGAAAAAAAACAAAACAAAACAAAAAAACAAATATATGAACAGTGCAGTAAAAAAAAACTAATTGAGATGAGAAGCTCCTACTAAGGAGTCTTACTTGATAAAAATAACTCCCACCTTACAAGATTTACGTGACAATCAGCAAGAATTCTTAAATAGATCTGCTTTCCTTTTCGACAAGACAAACTTTGCACACTTAACTTGAACAAAGGAAATTAAAGGCTCTCGTGCCTCCTGATGCATGAAGTAGAGAAATGTGAAAGAGGTGATAATACAAAGAAAAGTGTTACTAAGTAAAATACTGTACTTGACTTAGTAATCACCTGAAGGTGGTTTCCAGTGGCATGCCACAAGGGTTGGTCCTTGGCAAACATTTTCCCCAATAACTTAGCAAAAGCTATACAATGTATTTTCTTCAAATCTGCTTATGACATGAACTAAGAGGTTCCACGACATATAACAAGAATCAGATTTTAAAAAGAACCCAAGAAGCTGAAAACTAGAGTATCAAATATGACACAATTGACAGGAGTCCAGGACACAAAATGTACAAGTACAGGATGGCCAAGGCAGGGCATAAAGACTTCCTGTTTCATTTGGGCACACATACGGCACTTTGCATACCCTTTGTACTCTACAAAATCCAGGTGCCATTTTTAGAATGGATTAACTTGAGCCCTTTATAAGGAATACAATTGGATAGTAATGGAGAATCACTTGATAAATGACTGAAGAAGACAGAACTCAAGATCTGAGGCAGGGGTTGGTGTTGTTGCGAACACCTATAATCCTACCACTCTTGGGAGGATGAATTAGGAGGATCGCTACTAGTTCAAGCCCTGCATGAGCAAATGAGCAAGACCCTATCTCAAAATAAAGTATTAAAAAATTACAACAATAAAGTAACACTAGATTAAAATAAAAAACAAACCGGCACAGTGATATACACCTGTAATTCCAGCCACCTGGGGAGCTGAGGCAGAAAGATAGAAAGTTTAAAGCCAGCCTGGGCACTTTAGTGAGAACCTGTCTCAAAATAAAAATAAACTTTAAAAGGGCTGAGGATAGATGTAGCTTAGTGGAAAGGCCTTGGGTTCAATCTGATAATGGGGGGCAGGGGTGGGATGTGAGGTGGCAGTGATACTGGTTATCTTTAAGAGGCCTTCAGCATAATTATATGATAGTCCTTAAACAGGCATGGAATCAGTGGGTAAAAGACATTAGGAATTAGTCCCATTATTCAACTAAGTATAAGAAAGAACTCTAAAGATACCAGAACTATTGTGGATAGGATGACCTACCCTGAAATGCAGTGAATCCCTATACCATAGGAGTTTTAGCACAAACTGAATGGAAAATATCTAGAAAAGATGGATAACGAGATAAGGTACACTTTCACAAAACTTCAGTGTCATTTTACAGACAATACTCAACAAACGTTTGTCGCTAAGATTAATGCTAGCTGGCTGCAGCTGGGCATAATGGTGGTGTATGCCTGTAATCCCAGCACTCTGGCAATCTGAGGCAAGAGGATCCCATGATCAGGCCCACACTGGGCAACTTACTCAGTTGGACCTTGTCAAAAAAAAAAAAAAAATCTGGGAGAGGCTGAGGACTGAAATAACAACCAAAAAACTGTTGCTATTTACTGAGCCCATGATATATACCAATATACTTGGGTAGTTTAAAATTCAGTATCTCAAAAACTTGGTAAATCAGATAAATAACTGTTCTTCATAGGAGAAACTTTGAAACGACTACTTTACTCTGCAGAAATGAAATCAAAGTTGTTTTAACTTGGATATGGCCTTATTCTTAGTTCAAAAGCTGAAGTCCAGCTGGGTGTGATCACTTATGCCTGTAATCCCAGCACTTAGGAGGCTGACGCAGGAAGATAGCCACAAGTTTAAGGCCAGCCTGGGCTATATAGTGAGTACAAGGCCAGCTGGGACTACAGTGCAAGACCCTATCTTAAAAAAAAAAATCTTTAAAATCCTTATTTGGCTAATTAACAGATACTTCTAATTCACAGGGCTACCCACTGAGATTTTTTTGTTTTTTGGAAACGGGTCTCACTCCGTGTTCCAAGCTGCCCTCAGAGTTGTTACCAATCTCTTGCCTCAACCTCCTGAGTGCCGGGACTGTAGCTAACTGCCACCAGGCCTAGCTTACTGGGTTTTTGTTTCCTTTTTAAGAGATTTAATCATGAGCATTTGCACCAATAAAGTAACACTAGATGAAAATAAGAAAAAGCTGGCATGATAGTGAATGCCTGCAATCCCAGCTATTTGGAAAGCTGAAGCAGAAAGATTACAAGTTTGAGGCCAACTAGAGCAATTTTTTTTAAAAAAGGGTGGTGGAGGGTTATAACTCAGTGGTATAGTGCTTGCCTACCGTACGTAAGATCCTGGGTTCGGTATCTCAAGCATAGCAAAAATACACTAAGTAACTGAACAAGAAACAATTGAAACCACAGTATATACATTTTAGGATCTTTCAGGCAGGAACACTCTAACTCCCAGAAAATAATTTAAAACTTAAAAAAAAATAAGATACTAAGAAATATCTAACAGGCTTACCTCGATCTCTGCCAGTTGAGAGACATTTGAAAATTACCATCCTCAAGTCTAGGCCTTCTTTAAGCCAGATCTTATCCATAATCTTTATCATCTGTAAAGCCAACATATCTTGCCGAAGATCTTCACCAACCTTGAAATCAAGGAAATAAAATAACAATGAGATAAACTGATCTACTTTTTAAAAACTTTTCTGTAGCATTCTAGAGAAAGCTATTTAATGTATTAATGTCCCAGTTTCCTGAACAGTACAGTTTAGGGTATAGAATTATACTGAATTAGAAAAGAAAGATCAACATAGGGATCTTTTTAAAAAAAAATTAATCTTATTAGTAATTTTAGAAATATATAATGATCGCATTTATCACAGGGAATTTGTACCTGTACATGACATACTTTGCTGCTTCCCTTCCCCCTTGCCCTCCCTTCCCTTCAACTCCTCTTCCCTTCCTTATTTATAAAAGCTTTGTTTCCATTTCTTTTGAGTACATGATGTGTACCAATATACCTGGGTTGTTTAAAATTCGTTATCTCAAAAAATTACTTGGTAAATTAAAATAAATACCAGTTTTTTCATAGGAAAAACTTTGCAATGACTATTTTATTCTGCAGATATGAAATCAAAACTGTTTTAACTTGGATATGGCCTTATTCTTAGTTCAAAAGCTGAAGTGAAGCCAGGTGTGATGACTTATGCCTGTAATCCTAGCACTAGGGAGGGGTGTTATTCTTTTCTCTTCCTTCCTTTCCTCCTTCTCCCTCCTTTCTATCCTTTCCCATTTGAACATTTTCTTCCTATTTCACAATAGCTGTTATATATTTTGGTCCTTATTTATTCTTTCAATTTTTCATTGAAAGAGACAATGTGATGTTTAAACGTGTGTCTGATTTATTTCACTGAACAATACCGTCTCAAGGTGCATCCATTTATGTAGAAATGTCTCAAGCTTATCCTTCTTTATGGCAGAGTAGTACTCCACTGTGTTAAAAAAGACCCACAGCTTTTTTATCTCTTCATCAGTTGATGGCATCTGGGGTCTTTCCAAAATTTAGCTATTACAAACTGTGCTGCTATAAACATGGGTATGCATATATCACTGTGATATAATGCTTTTAATTCTTTCAGGAAGATATCAAGAAGGGAAATAGCTGGGTCAAATGGAACCTCTAGTTGTAGTTTTTCGAGGAATCTCCACATTGATTTCCACAGTGGTTGGACCAGTCTACACTCTCACCAAAAGCAGAGAACAGTACCTTTTCCCCAACAGCTCTGCCAGCATTTGTTATTGGTACATTTCTTGATACTAGCCATTCTTTCCAGAATGAGATGGAATCTCAGTGTTGAGTTCTACCTAGGGATCTTTTTACTGATCTGTATTTTAACTGTATCAATGCCAATATTCTGATTATGATACTGTACTATAATCATACAAGATGTTACCATTGGGGGAAGCTGGGTAAAGGGTTCTCTGAATAATTTGTTACATCTATTTGTATACAATTACCTTAAAATAAAAGGTTACTTTAAAGCAATTAGGCCTCCCCAAACAATTAAGTTTAACTGGGCCCTAGCTGAAGTAGGAGGATTGAAAATGGGCTGAGGGCTGCAGCTCTACAAAGGTTCTGGATTCAATCCCAACTACTAGAGTGGGAGGCGGGGGAGGTCCCTAACTAGAACCCCGGTAAATTTACCATTCCCAAGAAAATTATGAAAAAATAAAGAAGATATGTATGCCTTAACAAATATTAAGATTTATTGCATACAATTTCTATGATTAAAACAGATGATGTTTTAGGAAATACTTGTATCATTAAGAAAAAAGATGGAGTCCCAACCAGACCTAAGAATATGGGAACTTGGTAAAATTATACCTAAAGTGGTCTGATAGAAGATATTTTATGAACCTCAACTTATCAAATTAATTAACAATCTCCATCTTTCTTCAAAATGGATAAATTATGATCACAACACAGAATTATAACAGGTAAGAGACAACTCTGCAGTACTCCAATCCTGCTGCCCTCCACAAGTGACCACATGTGTCCCAAAACCAGTGCCAGTGCACATGGTTTTCCCCTTTGGACTGTGTAACTCTAAGGGGTGCCATTTGCATCCGTCTGCATTACAGGTACTGCCTGGAGTCATATGTTCAATCTGTGTGGTCCAACCAACAGCTCTATTCCATATTTGCACTGGTTCTCAAATGTTTGGAAACAGTTTATGTCAATGATAATGTTCATATAATTATTCAAATTAAAGTATTAAAATCGTCTGGTAATTTTTGGAGAATTAGATTAAAAAAATTTTTAATTGCTGTTTTTCAGGACAAAGCAACTGCAGCCAAATATGGTGGCACATATCTGTAATCCCAGCTACTGCCGAAGCTGAGGTAGGAGGATCCCTTGAGCCCAAGGGTTCAAGATCAGTCTCGACAACACAGTGAGATCCCATTCCCCTCAAAAGTAACTCTATTTCGCTCACCTTAAACATGACATTAATTTCTTCCCCCATAGGGTCAGCATTCACCATGGTGACTTTTAGCGGCACAGCATTAGAACTGAAGAAGGAACATGACTGAAAATGCAACATTTAAACATTAGAAAAACAACACTGAAATAAAAGTGAATTAATGATTTTATTGTCCTAAGTACTTTCTCTTTCACTTATTTCTTGAGTTATGGCAAATGCAATAACACACAAGAAATGATTCTTAGAGGATCTGGCAGATAATATGTACATAAAAACACTTCAAAAAGTTAGGTATAGCATATATGAACAATACATAAGCAGAGAAGCAAAAACTTAAAAATAAAACTATTTAAATTTGAGCCTTATAAGTGTCTTAAGGCACTTCCTCCCACAAACCATCCTCCGCTGTATTTCCTAGGGAAAGGAGCCAGATGTACAGGCCACAAGGCTGACCAAGTGTGGCAGTTCTGGGATGAGATCTCTATGCCTACTTGTAACAGTGTTATAGTTGATTATCTGTGGAATCAAACATTGACAAAAGCCCAATTTCATTACAGAAATCAAATCTTATTTTTAAGTGAAACTGACTAAAAAGCTAACTTAAAAGGATAAAACCAAGCTAGGCATGGTGATGCATGCCTGTAAACCCAACACTTCAGGACGCTGAAGCAGGAGGATCACAAGTTTAACCACAGCCCGGGCAACTTACTTTTAAGACTCTCTCTCCAAATAAAAGATAAAAAGGGCTTAGACATAGCTCAGTACTATAGCTCATGTGAAGGCCTTGGCTCATTACCCAGTATTGGGCAGGGAGGACCAGTTCAAGAAAAACAATAAGCCAAATCCAAGGTAATAAATAATTTTAGACTGTTGGTCTTTTAGGACTAGTGATTGGGTAAAAATATGCATAGTAATCACAGACTTCTGTCCATATATACTTATAACCAAACTATGGAGGTTTCATCCTCATTTACCTTAAATATACCTGCCCAATTACAGGTGTTCATAAACTTACTTTTAAGACTCTCTCTTTTTAAGATTCTCTCTTTTTACATATTATTTTGTAAGTTAATATAAATTTATTAAGTAGTGTGTCACCTTAATATTTAACTCTTTTGCCACCAGACTTGGCTTGAGAGGGAGACGGCATTTATTTCTCAAAAAAAAGGACTGTACTCTTTCCATACTCCTTTGGAGGACAACCTATAGAAAGAAATTGTTACTGTAAATACAAAATGAAAACTAAGATTTTTAGACATCAAATTATGCTGTAGACACAATTTATAAAATGCCCACTTGCCAAATGGTCAGAAAAGATTGTTGCTGAATGTGTTCATTTTTACTGTAAAAACAAAATTGGAATGGGCAAAGACTATGAAGAGAGGGAAAAGTATGTATGGCCAACCAACACACAAAAAAATGTTAAAGATTGCTAGCAGTTATAAAGAAATAAAAAGTAAGCAAAACTGAGATGGAGTTTTTCATCTGCCAGATGAAAATTTAAGACAACATCCATTGGGAAATATTTCATAATCTCATCGTAGAGAAAGAAGTGTATACAGGCATACCTTCTTTTTTTAAGAGAATAAGCTAAAAAGTTATAACTAAAAATGTAGGGTGCTGGGGATTTAGCTCAGCGGCAAAGCGCCTGCCTGGCAAGCGCAAGGTCGTGAGTTCGGTTCCCGGTACCGGAGAAAAACCAAGAGAAAAACCAAAAAAAAAACCAAAAAAAAAAAAAAAAAAAAAAAGTAAATAGCTCTTGACTCAGCTATTTTGCCTAAAGGAATCTCCTATAAATACTAGTGAGCCTGACGTGGTGGTACACACCTGCAGTTCCACCTACTTGGAAGGCTGAGGCAGGAAGACTACACAACTGTCCCAGGCATCACAGTGAGATCACAACTTTAAAAAAAAAAAAAAAACCACTACCAAAGAAGCAAAAACTTGAGCCAGGTGTAGTTTATGAACACCTGTAATTTCAGCTACTTAGGAAGCTGAAGCAGGAGGCTGTAAAGTTTGAGGCCAGCCTGGGTTACATAGCAAGTCTGAAGATAGCCTGAGCCACACAGTGAGACCCTGTCTCAAAGTTAATACAGAAATAAAAAAAGCTGGGTATGTGGCTCAATGGTAGAACACTCACATAGCATGCCTGAGACCTTGTGTTCAATCCCTAGAATGCGAAATACATACATACACATACATAAAAAATTTTATAGATCCCAAAATCTCACAAAACAACAAATGTTGATAAGGATGTGGAGAAATTAGAGCTCTTCTATATTGCTAGTAGGAATGTAAAAGGTGTAACTACTACAGACAACAGTTCAGCCAGGGAAATAGCTCAGTGGCATAAGCATCTGCCTGGCAAGTACAAGGTCCTGAGTTTGATTTCTGGTACCAAAAAAAAGATAATAGTTCAATGATTCCTCAATAAAATTAAACACAGAATTGCTGTATTACTCAGCAAGTCATTTTTAGGTAAAGTGAAAACAAGTGTTCAGACAAAAATCTGAACCATCTCTGTAACCCTAGTTCTCTGTGAGGCTGAAGCAGGAGGGCCCGAGGTTTGAGCCTAGCACAAAGGCTCTAGGTTCAGTAGAGGGAAGGGGTAATAGATATATGACTGAATTTTGAGCTAGCTTATAAAATCTTTTCATATAGGGCTGGGGATTTAGCTCAGCAGCAAAGCGCCTGCCTCGCAAGCGCAAGGTCGTGAGTTCGGTTCCCGGTACCGGAGAAACACCAAAAAAAAAAACAAAAAAAAACAAAAAATCTTTTCATATATATAAATTTTGTTTGTTTGTTTTTTTTTCCCAGTACCAGGAATCGAACTCACAACCTTGCACTTGCCAGGCAGGCGCTGTGCCGCTGAGCTAAATCCCCAGCCCCTTTTCCTACATATTTTATTTTATTTTATTTTATTTTTTCCTACATATTTTAAACAATCTGTGGATTTTACTTGCTCCAAATAACATGTGTGTAGTTGGAATTCTAGTGGGAGTCTACTGATAAAGAGTAGAAACTTATGGTCACATACCTGTCTGGCGGATCCACTAGCCTGTTTTACTTTTTCAGCTACTCCTCCTAGTAGCTGCACAAGTTTCGTCTGCTTAGAAAGTTCTTCTCTAAGTCTTTTTCCTCCTACTGAGAGTAGAGCACCCAATACATGTTCATATCGGGAACCAAACTGTGTATCATTCAGGGCATCCTTGAGAAGCCTAACACAGCAAAATATGTATGTCAGTTACTTCTGAGAATTACATGAACCTCTCTCAACAATTTATCTAACAAGTTCTATTTTTTGTTTAAAAATTTAAGTACATAAGCAAATAAAAACTCATTTATTAATATAGTGTTATATCATGCCAAGTATTTTGTAATAGAGGGTTTTTTCACTTTTGGTTTTCTTTCTAAAAACATAAAAATTTAGCTTTTTCAAAATAATACGTTCACTCGGGTGTGGTGGCACATGCCTGTAATCCCAGTACTTGGGAGGCTGTGGCAGGAGGATCGCTGCAAGTTCAAGGCCAGCCTGGGCTACAAAGTGAGTTCAAGGCTAGCCTGAACTGCATAGTGAAACCCTGTCTCAAAAAGACAAAAAATAAAATAATGCTTTTCAACAAAACATCTGATATCCACAGTAGTAGTGTGGACATATTATTTAGACTTAACAGTATGTCATCACTATGAATACCAGGAATAGTATTAAGGTACTTAATAAAATTGCAATCTTACCAGTATAAATTGTGTGCTATCTGGATATTTCCCAATGCTCTGGACAGAAGGAAGTGCACTAATGAGCTATTCAAGTAAATTTCATATTTCAAAGCCTATGTGTAAAAAGAAAGTATGACTTAGTAGTGCTTAAACCCAAACTACATTATTCAATTAAATTATCAAAAGAGGAACCATGTACATCAAACATTACTCTTAAATGAAAAGATAATTCTTATAAAACTGAACAAGTTAATTACTATAGGTTAAAGTGATGAAATAAAAGACAAAAATGGGCTTTGGAATAATATTAATTAGCAATATTTCACTACTCAGTAAAGAATAATCAAGGAAAAGTTCAAGTCCAGTTTATTATGAGACTCTAAAAAGTCTAAGAATTAAAAATTCAACTATAGATATACAGTATTCAAGTGGGGCAGATGACAATAATGGGGGGAGAAAAAAACACACTAAAACCGCATGGAATGCCCCTCAACACTGCCACACTACAAAACTACTTTTAATCAAAATACAAAGGGGACCCTTACTAACGTTCCAACTCATAAATACCAGGAGTAAGGTAACCTAGTAACAAACTCACTTGCACAAACTGTGGAAGGAGATCTGTTAGCTCATCATCACTAATGGCCTCAATCCAGGTCACAGCTAGGGATCTCACTTCCTGATCAGCAAATCTACAATATCAGAAAATCAGGGTTTAACAGTGATTTCCTTCCACTGAAGCCGTATTTCCTGAAAAATACAATTTCAATTTGTTCCTAACAAAGAATACTCATATACTTCTTTATTCAGAAGCAATGTATTTCCCTTTCAGGAAGAAAAGGTACTATAGATTCACTTTTTGGATTATTTAGTTTGTAAAAATTAATTTTGCCCACATTGGAAAGCATAATAAATTGACTTACTTTGAATCAAGAAGCTCCAATGCAGCCAATGGATGCAATGGTGGCCATTGGTCAAGCAATGAGTAAGTTTTGGCAAGATTAACCCATTTCCAGTTTGGGGCACTTGCTAGTATTTTAGGAAGACAATTTGGGTGTTTGAAGCAGTAATAACGTTTCTCCCACAAAAAGGCCTTATCTTCTTTAGAAAGCCTGCATTCATAATAGAATTAAAATTATTTCTCATAAATACTGCGAAAACATAGTTATAACCTCAATGATTAAAAACACAAGAAGAAATTTATCCATCTCTTGGTGAAAACATCAATACTAATTTGGAGTAGAAAAATACCACGTACAGTAAACATCACTACTTTACCCTAATTTGGGCATGGAAAGAAATCAGTCTACCTAATAATAGAGTCATGAAAACAAAGGATAATTCAGTACAATAAAAATTTACTGAGCTCAAGCCAGATGCCAAGTACCACAAATGGGAGATGAATTAGACCTTACCCTAAGAGTTTGCAAGGATTTCATCCACTTCATACAAGTCAAATGTCATGTAGAAAACAAATGTTGCTGTCATTTTGCGGGGATATAGTGGGGGTACTGTGGATTGAACCCAGGGCCTTTGCACTGAGCTATATTCCTTGACCCCTTACCTTTTTGTGAGACAAGGTCTCACTAAGTTGCTTAGATGCCTAGACTGAGCTCAGTTTCTCAGTTTCCCAGTGCTAGAATTTAAGGCATGCATTACTACTCCTGGCAGCTACTATAAAACTTCAGAAAATGATTATACAGTCGAATTAAGAATAATCAAAATGAAAATGACTTGCTCTGGATATTCTCATTCTACTTGCTTTAAACTTAATGACAAATGTTCATGTTAATAAATATTTCACTACTTTATATCCTATTCATTTTTATATATATAATACATACAGTGAAACACATTCATTGCATCTGGTGAATTAAAAAAAAAATCCATATATTGGAAAAAGTGCATAGTAAAGTCTCCTTTTCCAACTCCCCATCACCTAAGCTTAAATACTCTTCCAGAGACAGTCTACTTATAGAGAAGCACATATATGTTGTTTTTAGGTCTTCAATTTTTGCGTTCTGCTAATAGTCACATGATATGTTATTTTGATTTCTTCACTTAACATGTCTTATATACTGGTACATACAGCTTTAACTTCATTCTAAATAGCTGTAGTTTACCACTGAATGATTTAACTGTTTTTGGTAGACATTTCCAGTCAGCAACCTAAATATTGTAATACATATTACAATTATCCTTAAAAACAAATGTATAAGTGTTTTCTCTATGAGATACAGATGGAAGGAGCATTGATGGGTTGCACGATATACACAATTATAACGTGTATAATTTGCCAAACTGCTCTCTAAAAGCGTTATGGCTTTTATGTAATTCCCATCTTTTTTGAATCTTCATCACTCTATATGCTGAAGCATTTTAATTTTGCTATTCTGATGTAAGATAACATTGCACACTAAATTATTTTCCTTGAGAAGTTGGACATCTTTTCAAATGTTTAGAAGGTAGTATGTTCTATCCATGCACATTCTCCTTTAGTATTGAATTATTATTATCTTACTGATGTGAAAAAATTCTTTATAAACTAAGAAAATTAATACATTGATCATCTATTATATTTCCCAGTCTGTCTGTCTTTTGATGAAGTAATAAGTTTGACTTGCACAGATTTCCTAAACTGATGCAGTCATATAAGGTTGGTTGCATTTGTTCGGTGGTGCTGGGGTTTGAACCTGGCACTTTGCACATGCTAGGCAAGTGAGGTACACCTGAGCTACACCTCCATTTCCTACATGGGCTTTTAATATAATTTTAAAAAATTAAGTCAAATAGGAAATTGTCCTCACAAAGAGCACTGCTGAGAAGTGAAGTAAATAAGGTCCTTTAGTATAAGCTCTTAACTCGATCTTTAACACTGTAGGTGATACCCAGGCAAAATACAATAAATGAAGCATACCCAAGTGATGAGTCTCTGTGAACAATATCAAGAAGTTTCTCTTTTATATCATTTTCCAGTGTTTCTAAATTGTATTGCTGTATAATGCTTCTGTCAACTTGAGGAGTTGTATAAATAATATCAAATGCAGGAGAAGGAAAATCAACCTTAAAAATTCAACAAAAATGGATCAAATTACAGTTGAAGTATCTGTCACGTTAGCTTAAGAACACTGATTTTTTTCTTAGCAATAAGGATGAATAGTAAATCAGTGCTTCTTGGGGGCTGGGGATTTAGCTCAGTGGCACAGTGCCTGCCTGGCAAGCGCAAGGTCGTGAGTTTGATTCCCGGTACTGGGAAAAAAAAAAAAAAATAATTAGTGCTTCTTGTCTTTTTGTTGCTAGTGGTTACCAACAGTTGGTAACTCAACACTACATATAATACACATATATTTCTTGGGATGGATACAATGCTGTTTTTTCTTTCAGTACTGGCGACTGAAGCCAAGAGCTTACCACTAAGCTACATCTCCCATACTTTAAATTATTTGTAGAACCAGGCATGGTGGTACACGGCCTGTAATACCAACACTTGGGAGACTGAGGCAGGAGAACTGTTGCGAGTTCAAGGCCAGCCTGGTCTACAAAGTGAACTCAAGGCCAGCCTGAACTGCATAGCAAGACCCTGTCTCAAAATGACGATCAATCAATCAATCGTTATTCTGAGACAGTGTGTTAGTTAAGTTGCCCAGGCTGGCCTCAATCTTGTGATCCTCCTGCCTCAGCTTAAAGAGTAGCTGGGAGTATAGGTATGTGCCATCATGCCCAGCTTCTACTGTTTTTCAGAACCTAGAAATGGCGTTGTGACATTTAAATTTAAGATAAGATTCTGAAATTAAAAGATCAATTAAGTTTCTTTAATAACCCAAGTATGCTATACACACATACTTTTTATAAAAGAATTTAAATGCAAACCTCTCCCTGTGTAAAGAAACACAATTACCTGTAGCACTATTCTTTCCATGATATATCCCTTTTTGGGCATTGTTCCAGGACTAGGATGTGTCCGTGATGAAGTCCAAAGATAAAGAAGTTTAGTTCCACATGTTAAAAACCTTCATGAATGTAAAAAGAATACCATGACTTCCTTTAAATACAATCCAAAGCTCATAACACTGGTAATCAATTTGAAATATCAGTATGTCATTCACTCTTTTATAAAAAGAACACCATCTTTAAGAAGAGATCAGGAGTTATTTCCCATATTGTACTGTGACTTTAGGTGAACACACTCAACTGTGAAGAAGGATAAAGAAAAGGAGAATGAAAAAATACATCTTGTGAAGAATGGAGTGAAGCCAGAAAATAAGAAGGGTCAAGATTTGCCCCCAAACAACTTAAAAATAGGAAAGAATGACTGTCTTTCCAGATTTTTTTTTTTTTTGGTACCAGGAATCGAACTCAGGGCCTCACACTTGTCAGGCAGGTGCTATGTTGCTGAGCTATATCCCCAACCCTTTGCCAGGCTTTCTACAAAGGAATACAGATCAAAGTGGAGATTTGAATTACAGAACTGCTTCCTGACTTTTACCATTAGTACAAAAACTACATGCCAAGGAAACTGGTAACTACTAGAGCCAGAGCACCCATCATCTGAGAAAAGAAGTTGTTTCTAGGCCCTTGTCCACAAACTTTTTCTGTGAAGGGTCAGCCAGTAAGTATTTTGGACTTTATGGTTCACTCATTCTCTGCTGCAAAGACTTTGGCCATTGTAATGCAAAGTATCTACAAACAATGCACAAACGAATAGGTATACTATGTTCTAACAAACTGTATTTATAAAAACAGGTGGGGGTCTCAAGTATGTATTGTAATTAGATCTAGAACCCTGATTTGATTCTAGTTCTTCAGCAAGAATTTTTTTATCTTTTGAAATCATTTATCTATTTTTTTAATAATTAAGTTTATTGGTACAATTTAGGTATGCATAATTGCATCCATCATAAGGAACTTATACCAGTACATGATATATCTTAGTTCCTCTTTTTTTCCCCATTCCCCAACCCTCCCTTCAACCCAATTTCCCCTCCTTATTTACAAAGCTCTATTTCCATCTTATCTTTTTTCTCATTTTTTTCTTTTCCCTTCCATGCTCCCTCCCAATTCCCTTTTCCCTCTGTAAAATTACTTCTTATTTCATTTTGGTCTCAAGGACCATCAATTTAACTATAAATGTCACAAGTTTATTCTTCTTTATGGCTCAGTAGTACCCCATTGTGTGTGTGTGTGTGTGTGTGTGTGTGTGTGTGTGTGTGTGTATCCACATCTTTTTTATCCATTCATCGGTTGATGGGCATTTGGGTTGTTTCCAAGATTTACGTATTAGACACCGTATTGTTATAAGCATGGGTGTGCATGTATCACTGCAGTATGATGCTTTTAATTCTTTTGGAAAGATACCACAAATTTAAAGAGCCAATCCAAAAATGGGCATCTGAAATGAATAGACACTTCTCAGAAGGAGTACAAACAGCAAATAGATGAAAAAATGTGCAATACCACTGATCATTAGAGAGATACAAATTAAAACATTGAGATTCCATCTCACCCCCAGAAAGAATGGCTATTATCAAGAAATCAACCAATAACAAATGCTGGTGGGGCCGTGGGGAAAGGAACCCTTCCCCACTGTTGGTGGAAGTGCAGACTTGTGCAACCACTGTGGAAATCAGTGTGGAGATTCCTCAATAAACTAGGACTAGAGGTTCCATTTGACCCAGCCATCTTCCTTCTTGGCCATCTTCCCCAAAGAATCCCTAATATATAGTTTTGTATACTAGTTTCTACTGCATCAACCAAAAAGGCACACACTCTTTGTGCTACCTCTCTGTGATATTATGATTAATCATTTTATTTCTGGCCTGTCAGTAAAGCATCCACTATAAAATTCCAGAAAAGCCTAATGGTTCTAAAACATTGATGATGTAACTACGCTCCCACTGGACATTTTTAGCTGTCAACTAGGGGAGCGCTACTGGCATCGAATGGGTAGAAACCAGAGGTTCTGCACAACACCCTAGAATGCACACCAGCAGTCTCCTAAAGGAGGAAGCCAGGTAAAAAACAACAAAGAATCATCTGACGAAATTTGTCAACAGTGCTGAGATTAAGAAACTTTGGCTTAAATGTGTGATGTTAGTAGGGGATGAAAAAAAGTAATACTTTAATTAATCACTCCTCTATCACTTAGACTTCTTTTATAAAAAATTTTTGCATCAAAATTTGGTGGCCCTGAGATAATGGAAAGGCAGACTAAATGCTTAATTGTTTATTTACCAGTTTTCAGAAAAATGAGTTAAAAGTTCATTTGCACTGACAGGTCTCCGAAGCGCTATGGAAGTTATACACTGAACAGATATTACAAGGAATTGTAAGACCAAAATTACCGAATCACTATCACAGTATGTTATCTGAACGAGATTATTAGTATTTTTTCTGTATGAAGTAATATAAAATCATCTTCCCTCTTTAGTTTCTGGGGGAGGAGCTTTTTTGAGACAGGGTCTCACTATATAGTTCAGGCTGGCCTTTTAACTCACTAGGTGCCCAGACTGGTCTCGAACTCATGACAATCCTCCTGACTCAGCCTCCTAAGTGCTGGTATTAAAGGTATGTGGCACTATGCAAAGTTGTCTCTTAATTTGTGATTCTTTCTTGAATGTGAAGTTCCAACATAACCTAGAAGTACTGAACTACTTAGCAGTCTTAAACCTAAAAACATCTATTAACTAGAGGATTGGATGCAAATTATTTAAAAGTCTAATCTATCTGATCTTATTTTATCTAATCTATTCTATCCTATCTGTCCATACTGGGGATTGAACTCAGGACCTTCACACTGAGCTACATCCCCAGCCCTTTTTAGACACAATCTTACTAATGTGCCCAGGTTGGGCTGAAATTTGGCAATGCTCCTGCCTTGATTCCAGGGATTATAGGTGTGTAGCACCATGCTTGGTTCACGTCACTTTATAATCTCTTGAATTATGAAAGAATGTTATATCATTCATCTAAAAAAAAAGTTCACCAGACCACAAAAGTGCAAAAGATGATAGTGTTCAAAACTGATTTACTGTATTTATAAAAAATCAGGGCCAGGGATATAGGTCAGCGGCACAAGCACCTGCCTGGCAAGTGCAAGGTCCTGAGTTCAATTCCCAGTACCCACCCCACCCCTCAAAAAATGATAACAATGGAATTACATTTAATTTTCCCATATAACTATTCTCTAATACTAATTTACCAAAAAGAACTGAGAACATAATTCTTCTCCTTCATAGTACCAAGGATGTCAATATTCTGTTTGCAGAAGTTATGGATTATATTTAATTAAAGGTTTGAAATACGTATCATTAATAGCAATCTCTTCAACTGCTTTTCTCTAGTTTTTGATGTTTTGGAACTATGTCAGGTACCAAATAAAACATTAAAATGACAAAGAGATAGTTAAAAAAAAAAAAAGCTTATACTGCCTCCTCAAATATGAAGGATGTAATTATAACCAATATTTCTCATTTAAGTATATAGGAAAAGAATACATCCAGATCAAAATATGTGAAGTGAGGGCTGGGGATGTAGCTCATTGTAAAGCACTTGCCTAGAATGCCCAAGGCTCTAGGTTCACTCCCCAATATTGAAAAAAACAAAAGCGTGAAGTCAGTGTTTTGAACATATGTAATTTCAATAAGTGATTACTAAAAAAATCAAACCGTTTTGCTACTTAAGGAATAGTTGGGAGGCTGAGGCAGGATGACTGTTGCAAGTTCGAGACCAGCCTGGGCTACAAAGTGAGCTCAAGGCCAGTCTGAATTGCATATCGAGACCTTGTCTAAAAAAGTTAAAAAAAAAAAAAAAAGGAAAAAGTAGATTCAGAGAATACTTTCAATCTTAAATTAAAAAAAGATCCATTATTAAATCATTTCCCAAAATGTCCCATGAATATGATGCTTCAAAAGACACATTCTATAACAACAAAAAAAAGTGAGGGTATCAAGTAAGTTTGAGAATGTCAATATAGGATAATACTTAAGAACACAGATCCTGGAGCTAGAATGTCTGATTCAAATCTCAATTACTATGTAAGCACCAAGAAGCAAGGCACTTAATGTCTGTCCCTTGGTTTCCCACTCTGTAAATGAAGATAATAACAGTATCCTCCTCATCGTTATTGTGGGGGAATGTACGGATACATGTACAGCACTCCGATAAAGCCAAGCACATAGTAAGAAGGGCTATATAAGTGTTTAGTATTGTAGTGAATATATTACTATAAAGTGGTTAAACAGGCTTCTTGATTACAGAACTTTAGATATGCTTTCAACACATTCATGTTGCAGAACATTCTCATGTACTATATGTAATAAATTCCAAATTTATTATTTTCTTTTCTCTTTTTGCATGATCTTATTCCAATGGCTATTCCTTTAAACTTTATCTATTAGAGAGATTTCTTTACCCTTAAGGCTATGGAAAAGAATCCCAGAATAGGTTTTTGACACATATAGGACCTTTGGAGAATAAAGACCAGAAGCCCAAGACAGTAAGGCGACAGACTAGTCTGGTAAAGATAATTAACAAAGGGAATAATGTCTATCTGTAGTCTCAAACTGGAGAAGTATAGGAAAAGGATGAAAAGAGTTTGTTTATTACTATCAGGGGAACTGACAGTAATGGTATTACTATCAGTTTACATGGTAGTAAACTTTACATGGTATTATATCAGTAATACAGTATTTTACATAAATGACAGTCACTGGATGCTGTAGTGAGTTGCAAACAACCTCCCAAATACCCATACAATGTTTTAGACTACAGCAGAGTAACTGTTTTCCCTTATCTCTCTTTGAACTCATCTCCTCTTATCACACTGGAAAAAACTGCAATAGCTCTATTAGCTCATGTTTGTCATTGTCCTCATCCTATCCTCCAGCCAACTATGGTACGGAGATATGTCCACAGCAACTCACTCTCACAATTCAGTGATACTTACCGTTTAAAATCAAAAAGAGGCAAAGACACTCTGCCCAAAGCTTCTGGCCCCTTTCTCTGCTTATTAGAATCAGGGGAACTTCCACTGCTCTGATTTAAAATTCCAAAAAGAGTAAGATGAAGAAGTGATTCCAATGGCAATTGTGATATCTGGATGGGAAAAATAATTCTATGGGGAAAAAATGTATTAAGAGAACAGATTAGATTGAATATGAAACTTCACTTTAATGAGACTGACAATTTTAGGAATTTCATTTAAATACCCAATACTAGTCTTTAATCTCCTGTAACCTTTAGCTACATAGCAAGTTTGATTAACTTATTCTCTAAGTCTTAAATTTTATTAACACATGAAATTTTAAAGGGTAAGATTTTTGTCTTTAAAAATTTGTATGTACCTTTATTTAAGTTTTACAGTGTCAACTGCCAGGCAAAATAACAATCATTTTTACTTCCTTTAACACAGACTTCAGTAGTGGTGAATCTATGGTACAAGTGCCACAGCTGGCTGTTCACTTCACTAAAAACTCTCAAAGGTTCACTGTAACTGGACTAGATGAATGTCTACGAGAATTTCTGCTCTGGGTTGTTAGTATGCACAAATATACACAAACAGATAGTATGTGTTTTTTTTAAGTCTGAAAGAACGTATGAGATCAACAGTGGTCACTCTGAGATGATGTACTAAAAAAAGGCTATACACCCTTCCACTTTTTGTTTTTAGAGAAACAGGGTATCTGTATGTTTCCCAGACCGGCATTCAATACACAGTTCTCCCAATTCAGCCTCCCAAGTAGCTAGGACTATAGATGTACCACCATGCCTGGCATCCTATGTGCATTTTTGTTGTATTTGTTTGCTTTAATAGACATATTATTTTTGCAACTTAATAATAAAAAAACAGGAAACCATTTAAAACGTGTATAACAAATAATAGAAAGTTCTTTAAATGCCTATATACCTAAGTTATAGTTTTTTCCACTCAAAAACAGTATTTTAAAAGTAGTGACATTGGCCAGGTATGGTGGCACACACCTGTAATCCCAGTACTCGGGAAGCTGAGGCAAGAAGATCACTGCAAGTCTGAGGCCAGCCTAGGCTACCATAGTGAGTTCAAGGCCTCTCTGAATTACATAGTGAGACCCTGTCTCAAAACACAAACAAAACAAAAAAGTTACATTATAAAACATCCTGTACACAGATTTAAGACTTTTTAAATCTATTAATCAAAAGCTAATTTCTTATATATGTCACAGAGTAAAAACTGAAATAAACAATGTTATAAAATACCATCTGTGATAGTTAACCATTGTGTCAGCTTGGTAAGGAATGCCCTACTGATTGGTTTAGCACAGCTCCGGTGTGACTGAATGGATTTAGTAAGACCTACCCTGAGTGTGAGTGGTACCAAGAAATAGGCCTGTAGCCTGAACGGAATAAAAAGGGAAAGAAAGAAGAAGGGCTTGTTTCTCTTTCTTCAGAGGAGCTCTAGTGTTTGCCTTTGCCTTGGATGTCCATCTACTGGCTTCCACTGCAGACCCTTCAGCTGCCTGAGATAAAGTCACACAGGACTCTACAGTGAAGCCTTGGACTTCTGACTGCACCCTTCAGATCTCCAACACACAGACAGCCCTTTAGCAGTGGTCCACATCTGACCGTGCAGGTAGCCACTCTAAGCCTACTTTGTAAATCCATATATATACACTCTGTTCTGTGGTGAGCACTAACTGATACGCTTTCTAGAACTACACGTAAATTTAAACCTTTAATTTGACAAAGCCTAGGAAGAATTAACATGCTATTGTAATTTGATAACACATATATTTGGGCAAGTATTTCAGATTTTTTAACGAGAATCTGTTCTATAGAATCTTACCTAGAAGAGATTTTAAGACTCAGTAAAAATTTAATAAATTTCAATGGAAATGGTAATAATTAAAGCTAGGATGTACACATTAGGAACAGAGCACACTGAAAAAATTAAGAAGTCAAAAATTTCACTTACAGTTCATCCCACTTAATAAGATAGAAGAAATTCTTATAAGTGCCAACCTTCTTTGATTGAATAGGTTTAAAAAGATCCTTTCCATTGTGAGACAGGGAACATACCAAGTAGTATTTTTCGTAACTGAGAAGAAAAAAAGAGTTAATTAATTTGACTTCTATCTTAGTAGTCCAAATTAGCTAATACAAATATTTAGCAGATCTTGCTCCAAAATGACTAATATCTGAAATAAACCGGTCACCATTCACTTGAATTTTTGGAGATCTACTTAAAATTTAACCACTGCAAATTCTATGAAAATAGAAATGTGGAATAGTGAACGAAGTACAAAAGGGAAATATATGTCCCTAAGTGCCAGTCTCTAGGGTACTGCAATGATACCAGCTGGAGAACTGTGGTGTTGTGCTCAGTTACCACCTTTAGATTTTAGATGAATGATAATGAATAGATAATGTATTCACTACCAGGTAAATTAGAGACAAAGACTTTTCATAGGTAGTATTTTCTTTTGCTAAGCTACTGAAAACAGAATCAGCGAAGCATATTAATAGTCCGTGGGCCTGACTTGATCGACCCAATCTTTCTAGTGTATCGGGAGGTTTCCACTATGGGAGTAGATGCTGTTGTACTCTCTCACTAAGGTAGCAATGTCTTAGTGTCAAGCTGCTACAATTACAGAGCTAGTTAGATACAGTAAGCTTTTTTTTTAAGAGACAGGGCTTCACTGTGCACTTCAGGCTGGCCTTCAGCTCACTTTGTTGCCCAGACTGGCCTTGAACTTGTAGCAATCTTCCTGCCCCAGCCTCCTGAGTCCTGGGATTACAGGCATGCACCACCATGCCCGGCCAGCAAGCAGTTTTGTGAGGCAAAATTCTTAGATTTAATAAATCTATATTCTACTGATATTCTAACCTACTAAAAGGTTTATAAGCTAACCACCGTTCATGTATACAATCCACTTATCATTCTAAATATATTCCAAATCTAATCTCCTGGTTCACAAAGTATCTCCAGCCAACTCATCTTAATTCAATTTGTTCCTATTTAGTATTTTAAAACTTTCCATGTTACTAGTTATTTTCTGTATTGTCTTCTCCTGGGTATTTGTTCTCATTAGTGTCTCTAAATTTGCATGTATATATGGAATATGTGGACTAATTGCGAACTAATACCTTCAGATACCAGTAGTAGCCATATAAATTCAAATTCCAGGAAGGCACTGCTACCTTATTTATTGTTGAATCTCTGGTATAAAGAACTATGCTGGCCAGGCATGGTGATGCACACCAGTAATCCAAGCACTTGGGAGGCTGAGGCAGGAGGATCACTGTGCATTTGAGACCAGCCTGGGCTACAAAGTGAGTTCAAGTCCAGCCTGAACTGCAGTGAAACCCTGTCTCAAAAAGACCCAAAACAAACAAAAAAACTGTGTCCACTGATAGTGTTCAGTAAATTTTTTATTTTGGGTGGGGGGTCTTTTTGAGACAGGGTCTCACTATGCAGTTCAGGCTAGCCTTGAGCTCACTTTGTAGCCCAGGCTGGTCTTGAACTTACAGTGATCCTCCTGCCTCAGCCTCCCAAGTGCTGGGATTACAGGTGTGTGCCACCACACCCGGCTAGTAAATATTTATTGACTATTAAAACAACGACTTTCATCTAGGGGCAGTGGTACCTGTCTGTAATTCCAACACTCTGGAAGGCTGAGACAGGTGAATCAAAAGTTTGAACTCAGCCTGGCAACTTAGCAAGACCCTATCTTAACTAATTTATTAACAGGCTAAGATGTAGCTCAGTCGGAAGGCCCTGGGTTCAACCTCTAGTACAAAAAGAAATATAAGAAACTCACTTTCAAGTCATATCCATGTTATTTTAATCTACAGCGCAATTTAAGCAGAGTTTGTTTGACATCTCTTCACTAGGTTTGACCTTCTTTTACATCATTAAACTATTATGAAACTATTTCACTAAAAATATTTATCTCAGGCTATTCAGTTTATATTATTCATTTTCAAGTAAGGTTGGAAAACACTTGCTATGTCTTAAAGGCCTTTACAAAAAAAGGAAAGCCCATATTAAAAATTAAATATAGGAAATACGCTCTTGTGTTCAAAAATTAGCAACCAATTAACTGTGAATTACTAAAGATGGGGAGAAAAAGTTCTGCAATCTCAGCCCATTACACTGTTTCAGATTACAATGGTTCTAAGGCAAAGGCCGGAAAAAAAATCTTTTGTTTTGTTTTGTTTTGCTTTTTGAGACAGGATCTCGCTAATCATCCGGGCTGGCCTTGAACTCCTGGATCCTCCTGCCTCAGCTTGCTAATGCTGGAATTACAAGCATGTACCACCATGCCTGGCAAAAACAGCAATCTTAACTAATTTATTAAACAACATTTGCTATTTTAAGTTTCAAGATGAATTTTTCTGCCCTTTTTGCATGTAGTAAGAGTAATACAAATTACTGATACAGCTTCAAACATCTCCGCAATTTTAAAACTCTGTAATTTTGAAATCTGAAAACCACAAAGGTATTTGGTGATCCTGTATCATCTACTGAACTACCAGGTAACAGTGGTTTCTGATATTTTACAAGATCAGAATTACTTCTACGTAAAGCTGTGCCTGTTTTCTTTCATTTATTTATTTTTTCTTTTTCTTTTGGTACTAGGAATCAGATTCAGCACCTTGCCCTTACCAAGCAAGGTGCTGTGCCACTGAGCTATATCCTGTACATTTTCTTTTTAAACAGTTACTTACTTTGATATCCAGTTACTTGAAATTCCATGTGCAGCAAAAATAGTAAACTGGAGCTGTTCCGTGGCACTCCATGCCTCCTTGATGCTCCTACTACTGTGAGTACAGTCTTCAGGAGTCCTACCAGAATTTGCATGGAGTCTGAGAAGATCGTAAATTGCTGCGGTTAATTGGTCCATGCTCACTTGAACAGGATTTTCAAGATTCAGGGAGCCTAGATTTGGAGAAAATGTTAATGTAATTCTCCAAAAAAGTAATAATTATTGCTAAAATTTAAAGAACCTGAAGACATACCCCCAGGTGAGCTTCTGCCAGTATCTCCTCCAGATAATGACGTCACCTGCACATATACAGACCAGTTAGAAAATGCCCATGATGTAACATAAAACATTTATCTCTGTCTTCAACACATTTAATTAAATGCTATGTCAGAGAAACTCTTCCCAAACTGGGCATGGTGGAATATGCCCATAATCCAAGCACCCTGGGAAGATAAGGCAGGAGGACAGCAAGTTTGAACCCAGCCTGGGGAATTTAGCAAGTCCTTATCTCAAAACTTCAAAACGAAACAAAAGTCATTACAAAGGGTTTGAGATGTAGCTCAGTTAAAAAGCCCTGGCTTCAATCCCTAGTACTGGGGGAGGGGGAGCGTCCCTCTCAAGGAAAATTTCCCCGAAGTGTCTGAAATTACTAAAATGGTAAGTAAAAAATGCAAAAGGACTGGAGGGAGGTAGGACATTTGCCTAACAGTGGTAGGACATTTGCCTAACATATACAAAGTGCTGTATACAACCCCCAATACCACAGATACACGCAGACATACACATATACACAAAGGCCAGAAAAAGGGGGAAACCCTAAATCAAGTAAATATAGGATTTCTTTTTTTTGGTTTTTCTCCGGTACTGGGAATTGAACTCACAACCTTGCGCTTGCCAGGCAGGCACTGCGCCACTGAGCTAAATCCCCAGCCCCAAATATAGGATTTTTAATATCAAGAAAATCAAAGCACCAGCACTTCGTAGGCTGAGGCAGGAGGATCACCATGAGTGAGTTCAAGGCCAGCCTGAACTACATAGTGAGACCCTGTCTTAAAAAATAAAAAGTGAAGCTGAGTGTGGTGTTGCTCACCTATAATCCCAGCACTCGAGAGGTTGAGGCAGAAGGGTCACAAGTTTGAAGGCAGGCTGGGGTACATAGTGAGTTCGAGGCCAGGCTGAACTACATACAGAGATGCTGCCACAAAAAAATACATAAATTTTAAAAAGGTTTTTTTTTTTTTTTTTTTTTTGGTTTTTTTGAGAAACGGCCTTGCTGTGCAGTTCAGGCTGGCTTTGAGCTCACTTTGTAGCCCAGTCTGGTCTTGAATTTGTAATGATTCTCCTGCCTCAGCCTCCCAAGTGCTAAAAAAAAAATCAAAGCAACTGAAAACTACTCTAAAATATAGAAACAAACAACAACAGAAGTGGCAAATATACCAACACAGGATTTTATTTCCCACTCGGTCCTCTTATAATAGCACGATAAGAATATCTTTAAAAGAATCTAGAACTCTTTATTACCATATTTAGCTAAAAAACAAAAAAATAAAAACTTCTGTAATTCTTAAATTTAAGTTGAGCTCCTTCCCAACTACTCTTCACTCTTTTACCTAAACTATAAATAAGAAGAACAGAAACGCCAGAGAACATTAGGACCATAGTTGTTGATAACATCCAAGCAATTTCACATGTAAGCTGAACAGCAGTCATTAAATCCCCATGGAAATGTCATGAGGCAGACCTTTAGTACAGGCTGACATGTAACATAAAGAGAGGGCTTGTAACCTGGCTTCTTCTGAGGTGATCAGTCACGTGTGGTGGCCCCTTGAGGTATGTCCAAAGTACAGTGCCCCCCAGTGGCCATCATGGGCATTTCCATCAAGAGAGAAGTGACAGTTATTAACCTACAGGGCCTCTAAACTCAGTATCTTTTTTTAATTGTATTTTTCATTAGTACATGCACATAATGTTTACATTCCTTGTGGGGAAGTGGTACACATTCATAATACTGCACATCTGAATTCCTTTTTTCATCCCCTTTTGCTTCCCTCCCCCTTCCATCCATCTCGATTCTCTGTTTTTATTTGTCAGAATCAGGAAGGAGGCACTTTGTGAATTTCTTTTTTTTCTTTTTGGTACCAGGAATCAAATTCATGGCCTCATGCTTGCCAGGCAGGCACTGTGCCTCTGAGCTGTATCCCTGGCCCTCTCTGTATCAAGACATGTTCGTAATACTCAATACTTACATTCCTCCTGTGGAGCTGGCACATGCACGTAACACATCTTAATTCTTTTTCATCTTTTCCCTCTCCCTTTTTCCTTCCCTTCCATTTTTTGATCCAATTCCCCTTTTAGAAAGCTCTACTTCCCTACATCCTATCATCTATCTTTTAGTGTATCTATTTTTAAACTCATAGTCAATTAATTTATGCCATAGGTCCTTCTCTACATGTAAAAGGTTCACAGTTTGCCATCAACCTATTCAATGTCAGCTCTTATAAAGCTCTTCCAAGGCAGCCCATCTCTTCAAGGAATCCTCACATAACTGAAGAAATGACCAATTCAAAAGTTTAAGTTCAAAAAAAAAAAAAGTTAAAGTCGTAATATTTTCCTTACTAGAAGGCAAAAACCTCCCAGTTTGATAGGTGCCCACTTAATACATAAAAATACTTACATCAGCACTTTTATTCCTTGGAAGGTTAACTGCTCTCTTTAGCCTCTTCACTGATTCTGTAATAGCAGGAGTCTCTACGCCATCCAAGGCACTGCAGATTTTTCTTACAGCTTTAATTACTTGATCTACAGCTCGGTGCTGGTTCTTTAAAAGTAAAAAGCAAACATAATTATATAAAATTTAATGAGCTGGGTGTGGCAGCACATGCCTATAATACTAGCATTGGGGAGGCTATGCCAGGAGGATTGCCATGAGTTCAAGGACAGCCTCAGCTACATAATGAGTCCCGGTCAATCTGAATTACATAGCGAGACTCTGCCTCAAAAAAAAAATTTCTCAAAAAAAGTCAGAAATTAAAACATTTAGATACACCTATGAATAGGTATTCTCTACCCTTTTTAAAAAAAAAATTTATCATTAGTACAGTATATGTTTTTGATACACAGTAACTACATTCTTCTTGGTGAATTGGTACATATATATATCTTCATTCATTTTTACTCCCCAAAATAATCTCTACTCTGTGATAAAAATGAAAATGAATCAATTATGTCTTATAATAAAGCACTGCCTAGTTAATTTATATTTTGACACAATTATTCACCTGTTATTTCTTTCATACTAGGATCAAAAATAAAAGCAATAAATTAGTAATAAATCACTGTCATTAAAAAAGTTTATACTTGGAAATAATTTCCAAATTTTTCCATTGAAAACAACCTTCCCTCCTGTAAAAAGCTATAGTATAAAAAATTAAATTCTATTTTAAAAAAGCTTCTAAAAGTTTTTATGTTGGTCACATGTAAATAACATGGGGCAAAATCAACTGTCTATAAACTATCTCTTGAAAAGTTTTCTCTAATCCAAAAAATTCCTTGAAGTTGGGCATGGTGGCGCACATCGAGAGGCTGAGGCAGGAGGATCACTATGAGTCCGAGGCCAATCTGGGCTACAGAGTGAGTTTAAGGTCAGCCTGAACTGCATAGCAACACCCTGTCTCAAAAAAAAAAAAAATTATTGAAGACAATTCTTCTGTACAATCCCATTAAAGCTGATTTTACCTGATCCAAAAGTATGCATGTATGAATATGTTTTAAAAAATCACTTACCTGAGAAGGATTTAAAAATCATTCTCTGCTCTTCAGAAGTACAAAGCTCATTTAGAAACATTCTTACAGGGGTGCAATGCAGTTAGAGAAATAACTTCTAATGTTATAGCACTAGTAGGATAACTATGGGACAATTAATTATATACTTCAAAATAGCTAGTAGAAAAGATTTTTAATATTTCCAACACAAAGAAATTACAAATTATTTTAGACAGACATACTGATTACCCTAATTTGATTGTTATACATGTATACATGTATTCAAATGTCATGTTCCATTTCATATGTAAATTATGCATCAATTATAAATTTTTAAAGTACCTTTTAAAAAAACTTACATTTATATATAATGAATTAATTCATAAAATATTTATGTCAAACCTTTATGCCAAGTACTGTTAGAAAGGCTGAAACTCAGTATTATACTATCCTTTAAAAATTTAAATTTTTCCTTTCTTGAGGCTTGGCTACCACACACCAAATGTTCCCCTCACCTTCAAGGTTAAATGAAACCACCTCACTGTCCCAAAGCCCAAGTACTCCACAATTCTCGGGGCCTGTTTTCTACCTTTGCTTATATTTCTGTTTCCTTTTATCTCACCTTTTTGCAAGAATCTTTCCAGTTTGGTTTTTTGTTTTTGCTTTTGTTTTTTTGAGACAAGGTCTTGCTATGTAGTCCAGGCTGACCTTAAACATGTGGAGATCCTCTTTGTTACAGACAGTGACATTAGGCAGAAATATTATAGGCACTCAGACTATGAAGGAGCCAGTGCAGAAGACATACATTCCAACAGTGGGGAGGCACAACCTTTGGGGGCCAGACCTCAAGACAGAAGATGAAGCATATGCACCCACATACTTCTCTCCTAAGGATAAACAACAGTGACTGATATTCTAAACAGGTATCCGTCATGTTGGGAAAGCCAGAGCAAGCCCCTGACCCACCCCTCAAAAAAAAGCCCCTGTTCTGTTTCCTACCCTCTTGCTAAATGACTTCCCCACTTATTCGACAGTACCTGAGCAATTATGCTCATAATCTTATTGGTTGACCATAGTTTTGTCCCATCTCATGCCCACCTTGTGGTTTCCCATTTTTCCCTACCTTGGACCCGCCTCACAACGTGGATTTGCTCTATAAAAATCCCTTGAAAAGGCAGGGCCCTCAGGACCCTGTCTCTCAGACAGGAGTTTTTTTTCCCCAATAAATAGATTCTGCTCTTAACCTCCACTGTTCCTAGAATTCACTGTATTTCAGAGAACACAAACTCGTACTGGATATCTAGCAAGCTAGCAGTTTCTTTCTGCTGTATCACTCTTGCCTCTGCTTCCTGAATGCTGGAAGCACAGCCATGTGCCACCACACCCGGACAAGAACCTTTCCAGTTTTAAGGCTCATGCCAATTCTCTGTTTTGCCTCTTTTTTTTTTCTTTCTTTCTTTCTTTCTTTCTTTCTTTTTCTTTCTTTCTTTCTTCCTTCCTTCCTTTCTTTCTTTCTTTCTTCTTTTTTTTTGTGGGGGGGCATGTTATTTGAGACAAGGCCTGGCTTTGTAGTGCAGGTTAGCCTCAAACTCACAGTGATCCTCCTGCTTCAGCCTTCTGAATAAAGATCTCTGTCAATTTTTTTTAACAGAAGTAAAGTTTTATTAAAGGTAGGAAAAGAAACAGTCTCTGCAGAGTGATTCTGGGCCAAGTAAAAGTAGGAAAAGACATACACACTACAGTGTGAGGGTGGCCTCCATCATTCTCTACTATTCTTCATGTGCCATTTGTCAATGGACTGTCTGTTCTACCCCATCCTTCTTTTGCTCTACTTTGTGATACCAGACCTAGACTTACACTCCTTTACCAGCTGTGACAATGTTAGGTTTTGTCAACAGAGGGCACTGAAGGGACACTCCAAGACAAAAGCAGCAAGACAACCCCAACTGGGCTCTGGTCCTTTTCTTTCATTGACAACTGGTGATCAACTTATAACCCCCAGCTGAACTGAGTAAGGTGGTGGTGGGTGTGGGAGGCCCACCTGGGGATTGTTGCCAACAGCATAAGAGGCAGAACTGGAGAAGGAGAGGCTGGCTATTGGGAGTGGAAAAAGGTTGTTGGGAGCTGGCAGAAGCTGTAAGGAGCTGTTGGTTGCTTTGGAGGAGCTCGTCATGCTGGCTTTCCTGATGAACTTGGCTGTTCTCATCCTCCAAGGAGCTTGGGACCTTGTTGGCACTGAGAATGGCTTTGGTTCACTTTGGGGGAACTCTGGTCCTCACTCTGAGCATCGCTTCCTGGCTCCAGAGGGGAAGGAGGTGCACAGCTCAGTCTTCTGAAGAAGTTTGTTGCACTGGCTTCCCTGATGGGAACTCAGCCATCTTGATCATCAGAGGAGCTCGGGACCTCACTGTTGCTGAGGATGGCTGTGGTACCTTTCGGGGGGGCCCTCTGGTTCTTCTGAGCGTCGCTTCCTGACTGCAGTGTAGATCCCTCAGCCTGCTAGTACAGATCCTTCATCCCACTGGCACAGACTTCCTAGATTCCACCATTGACCTTTGGGCCTTCCCAGTGCAGATCCGTGAAATAGGCCTGCATGAGATATTGTTATGGGCTCTGAATCCAGGTGGATTCATGCAGGACATTATTGTAGGATCTAGGCCCTCAGCTGGATTCTTGGTCTATGTTGTGTGGACAGATTTCCCGCACTCTTCTGTATATTGTTCTCGGGGTGACTATTATAAATAATCATATAAAGTATGTGTCCTGTATTATATTGTTCCCCTTGCAAAAATATTCCCCAAACCAACATAGTACAGGAGCTCAGTGGTCCTCAAAGACAAGCCCTGGCTGTGTCCTCAACCATGGCAACAGTGGCTAAAGTTCTCCAGAAATTTATTTGCCATAGGAAGCCTACTTGTTCCTATGATGGCCATATTCTCTTTAAAAGAGGCTGGGAGTAGGGGAGAGGTCTCATCGTAAGTACTAGAGTTCCTTCACTGTCCATATTTGCATAGCCTAGAGGTAGGTGACTGCTGCTTTTTTGTACCTGTTACTTCTGGATCCCTTAGAATAGGGTTGACAAAGTTTTTCTTTAAAAGACCAAAAGTAAATATTTTAGGCTTTGTAAGCCATATGGTCTATGGAATTCAACTCTTGCCATTAAGGTATGAAGAGTAACACAGATAAGTGATACAAAAATAACTGAGGCGATCATCAATAATAAGGCTTTATTTACAAAACCAGGCAGCAGGCCAAATGTAGCGTACAAGCCACAGTGTATCAGCTCTTGCCTTAGAGCCCCCTTTCCCAATTTCCTAATAAATAAGACTATCTCTTAGTTAACTCTTAAAATTTATCTTCAAATAACTAGTAGTTTCTATTTCTGACTGGCCCACCACTGATAGTCCTTACTACTGATCATTCCCTTCAGTGCATGTCATATTTTTGCTCTGGGTATTTGACTTACTATATTACACCTTATAATAAAAGCCTGTTACATAAATGTCCTAGTATAAGATTCACATTTGCAACCTCAAAAGGTTTCTCTGCTTCTTATACAAAGTACTTGTAAGAAAATCTCACAATCATAGAGATTCAACAGTTCCCAACCTCAGCAGGAAATTCCATGTCACGTATTCCTTTCACCTGCCATTGCTCAGTTCTCTTTCCCATTCCCCTGAAGAGCAGAGTATTACAAACCATTATTCTTCTCTTCAAAACCCTTACTGCCACCCTAATTTCACTTTAGTAAAAGGAGTCAACATCTTACCTCCAAAAACTAAAGATTAGGAACAATAAAAATTTCTGCAGCTTCCCGACCTCCCTAACTATACCCAAGGATGACTCAAAAACTTTTGACCTGAGCAAACTTAAGAATAGAACTATATTTATTAAGGAGAGGTAATGGGGAAGGCCGTGCCTGGGTAGGGGCAGGAGTTAAATGGGGTATTTCTGTACCCTCCTCACTGTTCTGCTCTTAAATTATAGTCTAAAAAGGGGGCTGGGGATTCAGCTCAGTGGCACAGCGCCTGCCTGGCAAATGCGAGGTCGTGAGTTTGATTCCCGGTGCGGGGGCGGGGGGGTTGGTAGTGGGGGGTTCCTGGGGGGGGGGGGGGGGGGGGGGGAGGCCAGGAACAAACCATAGAAAGGGAAGACTGATGGATCAGTCTCTATGAAAAGTAAAGTAAAAACTTCAGTTTTTTATTTCCGAGATGTTATTCATATAAAGGTGCTATAATAGATACTTGAGTCTAGAGTTTAGAGAAAAAGCCATGAGTGGAGAGAAAAGTTTGAGTCACCAGGACAGGAGCAGGTGAGATCACCAACAATGTCAGTCTAGAAAGAAGTCCTAGAACAGAGCCCTGGAAGAATTCTAATGTTTAGCTGTCTAGAAGATAAGGAGATCATAAAGATGAAACCACAAGTGACAGCAAATAAAAGGAATTTAAAAACCAAAAAGGTGATATTCCACAGGCTAAGTGCTTCAAGAAGAAATAACCAATTGCATCAGAAAGTAAAGACAGGAGGAACTACAGAAAGGTTGAGAAAAACCGAGTAAGAACTTAGCACTAGATTCAGGATCATGTAAACGCTTACCTTATTAAATTCTGTTTCAGAAAAGGGCTAATAATCAAAGTCTACTACAGTGGTTCAGAAGAGAATGGGAAGAGAGAAAATGGAAACAACAAAACCAGGTAATTTAGCCAGGTGTGGTGGCAAAGGTGCATAATCCCAGCGTTCAGGGGGCTGAGGCAGGAGAATCACTGTGAGTTTGAAGCCAGCCTGGGCTGCACAAGCAAGTTTAAGACCAGCCTGCACTACGTAGTGAAACCCTGCCGCCCCCTCACCTACAAAAAAAAACAATCAGTTTTGTTGCAAAGAGAATTGAGAAGTGGTATTGTTGACTCAGGATCACAGGATTATGTAGATTTTTTTGTTTATTTTTGTTTTGTTTTAACATGGGTCAACAATAACAACAAACTGGTTTAACTCTTCTCCACTTGCCATGATTTTTTGGGTAATTTCATCCATTCTTATGGTGGCAAGATATCACCTATATTCTGATGATTCCTAAATTTGTTTTCTCCGCCTAGAAATCCTGCACTGAATTCCAAATTCATCTTAACTTTCTGCTCAACAGCTCTATTTGAGCTGAGCAAAGTGGCACATGCCTATATTTTCAGCACCTGAGAGGCTGAGGCAGATGGACAGCCCCAAGTTTGAGGTCATCCTGGGCTAGACAGTGAGTTCAAAGCTAGCCTGAACTGCACAGTGAGACCCTGTCTCAAAACAAACAAACACCCTATGTGGATGCCTAATAGTCATCACAAATGTATCATTTACATTTGAGTGCCTGATCTTCCTCTCAAACCTCTCTTCTCAGTTTTCTACATCTCCTTAGAAGGTAACTCTAAACTTGTAGTTGTTCAGGTGGAAAATCTTGTTACCCCAAACTCTCTTTTCTCGTATTCCACATCCAATCTGTGGTGTGCCTTCCTACCACGAACTTCAAAACATATCCCAGCCAGGCATGGTGGTTCATACCTATGATCCCAGCACTTGGGAGGCTGAGGCAGGAGGATCACCGCAAGTTCAAAGCCAGCCTGGGGTACACAGTGAGTTCAAAACCAGCCTGAACTACACAGTGAGATCCTGCCTGAAAACATCAAAACTGCTGGGCGTAGTGGCTCACGCCTATAATCCCAGCACTCAGATCGTTGAAAGTTCGAGGCCAGCCTGGGCTACAAAGTGAGCGCAAGGCCAGCCTGAAAACTACATAATGAGACCCTGTCTCAAGAAGAACAAAAAAAAAGAAAACAAAAACATCAAAATAAAACATATCCCAGAGTCGAATCCCTTCTCACCACTTCTACTGCTCTCCTGCGGCAAGTAAAACATCTCAACTGTGTCTTCACTCTTGCCCCTCTCCTCAAGGTATTACACTTAAAAAGGCCTAAGAGATCTTGTATGTATTAGGCACACTCTCCCCTTAGGCATTCATACTTAACTGTCGCTTCTTCCAAGAATAGGCCTTGCCCAGAAACCCAAACAGCCTCTCCCCTCTCTCTTCCCCAGTTCTTCACTCCCATTCATCTTCTCAATGAGACCTTCCCTGACTACCTTATTTGAAATTACAATATTACATTCCTATACTTTTCCCTATAGCACCACCTGTAATAACATACTTTTAGTTTATTTTACTGTCCATCTCCTTCAAGTAGACTGTACTCTCTGAGGTCAGGGAATTCTGTGTTTGTTGTTGTACCTCAGCATCTGTAATACTGTGAATGAGGAGATACTCTGTATTTACTGAATAAATGAATACACTGCTATGCTGATAAGAAGGTAGTAACTATCTGGAAGTCTTCCCACCTTCTTTTTTCTCTTCTACTCTACCACCTACCAAAATCTTACCAAATTTTTTTTATCTTGCCTATTTTATCACCCAAATATTCTTAGTCAGTCTCTCCTTCTTTCACTTTCACCTCGTTCATTATCTTTGACCTAAACTCCCATGAAAATCCTTCCTAAGCAGTCTCCATGAAAGCAATTCTGTTGCCCTTAAGTCTAACTTCCACAGTATAGCCAGTTATTTCAGAGCACAGACAAAAATGTCACCCACTCCACCCACTCCACTCTATAGCTACTCATGAGTAAAAACACCTTAAATGACTGTGGCAGAGCTCCGCTAATGTTTCCCATAAAGGGTCAAACAATAAATAGTTTAGGCTTTGCAGGACATATAGTCTCTGTTCCAACTACTCAGCTCTAGTGCTGGAGTAGAAACGCAAATGATAACAGATAATATGAAAAAATAGGTATGGTTGTGTTAAAAACGATTATTTATCCTAACACTCAGAAAGCTGAGGCAGGAAGAATCGCTGCAAGTTCGAGGCCAGCCTGGGCTACAGAGTGAATTTAAGACCAGCCTGAATGCATAGTGAAACCTTGTCTCAAAAAAAAAAAAAAAGAAAGTTATATAAAAATAGAAAGTGGACTGGATATGGTCACCTGACCTAGAAGATAAAGTAAAACTGCTTAACATGAACTGTTATTATTACAGAGCTGGTATAATTCCATATAAGTGTCACAGATGTGTGCTTTGGCTTATACGCCCTTCTCCTCTTCATTTCTGGATGACTCGCACTGCTTAAGAACTGGTCAGGCAGTATCTCTTCTAAGAAGGCTTCCTTGAAGGCTTAAATTGTGTATGGTATCCCAAGGCATCCAAATGTGTACTCTATGCTACATTTATAACACTGAATTAAAATTTTGCTTCAATCCTCCACCACTAGTTTTTTGAGTTCTTGACAGGAAGGAACTAGGTCAATTCATTCATTACCACAACGCCTGTCATCTAGCACAGAGGAAGTAGACAAAATTTTAATTGAACTGCCCTCAATTTTTGAATTCAACTGGGGCTTCTCTCAGTAATGAAGATGGAATGAGAGTTAATATGCAGACTCAAGCATTACTAAGAACTTTGTTAATAAGCTGGGCCAGAAAACAAGGTATCACATACTGACAACAAGAATACAGTTTAAGAAATCTTAAAATATTTACTCTAATGCCAACACTAGCACTTATGAGACAAAAGAAACAAGAAATCTTTAAGCCATTAAACCAAAATATGAATTAAAACTTACTTCAATTTGACGAGCCAGTTCTACTTGGTTGTGGTAAGAATCTAAAAGTTCTTCAACAGGGTGTCTGAAATAAAAGAACAGCTATCATGGCTAAAGGGTACTAAATATAAACAATTGTTTTAATCACCAAAATAAATGTACTCACATCCAAAGTAAAGTTATTATTTCTATTTTTATTTACTTATTTACTTTTGTTTTTTTGAGACAAGGTCTCACTATGTAGTTCAGGCTGGCCTTGAACTCATGGTGATCTTCCTGTCTCAGACCCCGCAAGTGCAAGGATTTCAGGTATGCACTACCACATCTGGCTTCAAAATAAAGTTTAAAAACCTATAAGGAATGTTTTAGATGCTATACCTTGTCATGACTTCTTTATAAGGTTTTTCTATTTGATACAGGTATTTGTTTAAATCCACAGGTGTTTCATCATCTTCTGCCTAAACAAACACATATACACAAAGGTTTACCAAAAAAAAAAAAAAAAAATCCAATGCATTCCATGGTCTTAGTACGAAACTAAATTGACTCTTCAGAACTGAAGATAAAATGGTACCAAAATTAAACATTATGTATTATTGACTTAGAAAATGAGTCAATAATGCTTTAAAGAAAGATCCCTATTTTTTAAATGGAAAATATAAACGCTTTTATATCTAGTTTCTGAGATGAAGATAGCCCTTTAAAGCAAATCAGGATGGGGACCAGATGGAGAAGAGATCATCTGAATTTCTCTTTTATTTTTTCTCATTATAACCATGTTCCTTCCCATTCTGTGCTGACCCACCATAAAAAAGGTACTACTTGTCATTTCTACCATTCCACACACTATGTAAATGTGCAAGAACACTGTTCCTTAGGAAACTGAAAAGAGAAGTTACTAATGATTGCCAAAAGGTAACGAATTTTGTGAAACAGTGCCTACCCAACTGAAATAAATTCTACCTAACACAGAGGAACAAAATCCTAGAAAAGAAAACAAAATAAAATTGACCTTTTTTTCCCCAGTACCAGGAACTGAACTCATGACCTCATGCCTGCCAGGCAGATACTGTGCCACGAGCTATATCCCCAGACCAAATGGACTATTGTTAATTCCAAAATTCTACTAAATGAGGCCAGGGATATCGCTCAGCTGCATAAACGTTTGCCTGACAAGCCTGAGGTCATGAGTTCAATTCCGGGTACCAAAGGGGGAAAAAAAAAAAAATTCTACTAAATGAATAATCCTCTTTATAAATTAAAATTTTACTTATAAAATCATCAAGAGTTTTTTAGTAAAATCAAAGTGGATTTTACAAAAAATAGCTAAATTTCCTACATTTTACTTTGCTTTAACTTCAAAAGAAAATACTGAAATTTTACAACAGAGAATGAGTTTTCATTTTGTGAGAAATAATTTATCAGCTTGGTGCAAAGCCCAATATAGATCTTTTTCCTCCAAACACTGTTAGCCTCCAAAAATCTTTTCTTCCTCATTTCTTCTTCACTGACCCTGAGGTGTTCATTCTTTATGTAAAATTATTAAAAGTCAAACTTCTAATTCCTACATTTTGATTTTCAAATATACTTCTAGCTCTGAATAAATATGCTTCCTAAACCTCTGTGATTGAAAATCTCCCTCTTTCTGCTGAGAAAATACCTAAGGAAAATAACTAGTACATTACCCCAGTTCAACCCTAAAATCTTGGAAAATGCACCAACTTAAAATTGGCTGATTAGCCCAAATGTTCAGATTCACCAAGGGCAATTCAGTTATAAGATACACACACACTTACTGTTCGGGCTAGATTCTGGCACATTGCACCGAAGGTCAAGAGTTGCAATTTAATCTCTGTGTCCCATTTTCGACAGTTTTGAATATGTTCATGACTTCCAAGGCAATGGTTGCTGTTAAAATACATTAATCATTCGCAATTGTTATCCTACTCGAATTAGGAGTTATTAGAAAGTGAGGGTAAAATATAAATGTGCATCAGAAATGGAAAAAAATGGTAAAATACAAAGATTTTTTAATCAAATGTGAGCATTTACATGGAAGTATTATTCTATGTGAGAACAGAGCGAAGAAGAAAGAAAATTTAGGAATAAAAACAGGGAGAGGCCATTTCCTGTAGCCTGGGAAAATGAAATAAATAAAACAACTAGGCTCAGTACTAAATAGAATGAATTACCTGGTTAAAAAGAAGATGCATAAAGTGATTATTTCTGGCAACTAAAAGGCAATAATAGCTGACTACGATGCATAAAGTAATAGTGTATGCTACAAAAGGAGAATGGAGTCTACAATGAAGTGACTACTGAATCTTCACAGAAAGAAAAAAGATTGTATTCACTTATTAGCTAATTGCCCACAAGTCTTCCTGTATAAGACTATAAGCTTCTTACGAGAACATCATATTTTACTTTCTTCTGAAATCCCACCAGTAGTATCAGATATCTTTAAACATAGTAGCTCAAAAAAAAAAAAAGATATAGTATAGCTCAATATAAGTGTAATGATTCAAAGAATTAATTCAATAAAACCCAATGTATTTTTAGATTAAATTGAAAATTTTGAATTTAAGCCATTAAACATGAAATTTCTAAAGATGATAATCAGTAGTTAAATAAACTTACTTCTGAAGCACCTCTTCTTGACCACAAACTTTCAGGACATAGCTGCCAACATCTATTTGATTCAAGTCGTCATGAACCCAGCAAAGGGCTTGCATTATAATGATTTCTACTGTGGAACTCACTGGAAGAGAGTTAGTCATTTTAATTTGGCTCATTTTCCTCTAAGTGTATACTTATTCAAGACTGTGTTACTCATAATCTAGACAGTGCTGAACAACAGAAATGTGCAATTTATAAATGCAGGCAACATATGTAATGTAAAATTGTCTGGTAACCACAGTGAAAAAAAGTAAAAGAGGTAGAACTAATTTTAATTGTATATTTTATGTAACCCAAATTTAGTCAAAATATCCTTTAAAATATTATCAGTATTTTAAGAATAAAGAAACACTTTAATTTTGAAACTAAGATTCCAAACTCCAGTGTGTACTTTGCACTTATAGCACATGATAATCCAGATTAACAGTTACGGTGCTCAGCGTGGTTAGAGGCTACACTTATAATGCACGCTTAAACTAAGAAAGCTGCTTTCTTGTTAGACTCCTTCAGAATGATGTTTACAAATATCTAGTGAACAATTTTAAAAACACATGATAATGAAAAAGAATCACCAATTGAAATATTTGATATTTACTTGATAAATTTTCCAAAGAAGAATAAAAAATACAGCAAACAGGTATTATCATTCTTAGCAGAAGCCAAATACTAAGATTATAATACATTAAAAACTAAGGCTTTAAAATGAACTGTTTGTATAGAGCACCTATGTTCACCTTAAAAGCCTCTAACATAATAATCTCTATTTTATCAACTATATTTGAGAATAAACAAATATATACTATTTATAATTTGAGCATACAATTCACTTATACATATATTAATAGAGATGTATATCACAAATGTGCACATTTATAACTTACAAATAGATGTTTAAAATATTTGAGGTCAGATTTTGATGTAAGTCAAAATTTGGTATATATCAAACACTTGCTATTAATCCTTATTCATCCTAATTTTAAAGTGCCTATTGACATTTTAAAAAAATTTTAGTAATAGTTCTTACAGCATATCTGAAGTGAAATCTGTTCCCAGGCCAAAATATACGGCACGTTTAAAAAGAGTAACTTTTCCTTCATAAACTAAAAGAATGACTACTATAGGTGATTAACACTGCTCTGTTTAAAATACATTTTTACAAAGAGCCTACCAAAGTGCAAAGGCAAAAATAAAGTATACAAGCACTGGGTAAACTTCCAGTCATAAGCATTAAAAAAGGAACTAATTCTTAGTTCCAATTATTAAAGAAATACCGATCTTATTCTACATTGGAATCCTATTAAATTTATATGTTATAAACAAAATAAAAGTAGCTTTAAAACTGTAACAAAAAATTTCCTACAGACTTTGGAAGGCACAACTCTAGGAAGGATACTCATGCCAGGTTTGGAAGAGAAAATTAAAACCAAAAGAAAAATTATTTCTCCTTTGAGGAGATTAGCAAGAAACCTAGAACTTTAACTGCACAAATAACTCTTTATAAACAGGCATATTTCTTACCATAAAGTGAGAGGGAAACAAAGAATTAGACTATAATTAGCTTTCTTATCCAAAGCTTTTGAGCCTTGGCCAAGAACCATGGATTATTAAGTTCTATCCAGCATTCTTTGTTTCAGCATTTTTGTAAAAGTAATTTGTTTTCCCATCACTTCTAATAAAAAAAAAAACTAGCCATATAAACGGCAATTTTTTGAAGAGATGCCTAATGATAACAAAGTTGGCTTACTGAAAAATGATAATATTGATAATTTAAACACTTTTCTTCTAATCAAAGCAAAACAAAACACGTGGGGAACTACAAACCTACCATCACATGTGAAAGTAACGGGTAGCTGAAATCCTTCAATTTCAATGGAGACCTTCACACTAGCATTTTCTCCACATATATTTCTTTGCACTGTGACTGGACTTAACAAATAGCCTGGATTTGTGCAATGATTGGAGTATGGAAATTTGGTCTTCAATCTGTTCACAAGAAAAAAGATATTAAACTTTTTTTTAAAAGCTGTACTTGAGAGCCCTGAACAAGTTTACATGCTTATAGCCACTCAATTCTCAGTCTTTATCCAACTCTAAAGCAGCCTGTGAGAATGGCAATGAATGAACCACTGTCAAAACTCCAAATAACCAGCATTTACTTTTAAATAAAAGGAACCCAAAGAGAAAGAAGAGATTAACCACTGCCAGGATATCTTTGGCAACACTATCAACATTACCCAGGCACATACCGGACAAGCTGTATGAAAGAGGGTTCTCTGCTTCACATTCCTCTGTCCCACAGTACAATTACACAACCTGCTATGTTTTTAATGAATTACTGATGACATAGGCAACGTAGCTGTAAGTGTAATGGCCATAGGGAAACAAAGTTTGCTGTCTTCTTAAAATCTGTTTATTTGTTTGTTTGAGACAGGGTCTCACTGTGGAGTGCAGACTGGCCTTAAACTTGCTATGTTGCCCTGGCTGGCCTCAAACTCACAGCGATCCTCCTACATTAGCCTCCCAAGTATACCTGGGGCTTTTTCTTGTTATTAAAATTGTTTTCTCCTAAGGGTTTTTTTGCTACAAACATTATTTGTGGTTCCTACACAAGAAAAAGCAAAAAAGGACAATGGGTTTTTACAGTACTGCAAAGCCTTTATTTCTGCAGAATGGCATGCAAAGGTACAGGAGCAAGGCAGTCTACACTTCAATCCATGGACATGGTGTACAGCTCATCTGTCACAGGTGCCATCAAGACAGAGGGGGAGGGGCTGATGATTTAGCTCGGCGGCACAGCACCTGCCTGGCAAGAGCAAGGTCATGAGTTCAATTCCCAGTACCCAAAAAAAAACCAAAACAAAAAAAAAGACAGAGGGGGATATGATGCTGGGAATATTACCTACTAGTTTCTGTAGTGATTGAAATATTCAAGTCATAGTTATAGAACAAAACAGTTTGAGATGACAAGAAGAGTTCTGGGGGAGGTAGGAAATATAACAGTCGAAGTTTAGGCAAGTTATTCAATCTCCTCATTGCTTCAGTTTCTTCCTCTATAACTAAGGATAATACTATTACTTATTCCCTAGATTAGAGAGTTCCATTTACAAAACACTTAGTGCCTAGGATATGAGTACTGTGTAATAAGCTTATCAAATAAATGAATTAGTGAATGAATAAATCCGGTTTCTGCATTATGATCTTAAGCAACACAAAGGATTCAATATTAAAAAGAAATATAATAAAAAGTAATATAAATAATAAACTCGATACTAGAATGGATCTTCAGATTACATACATTATTTTTACATATTTGATTGCTCCCTCTCAGACTAGGGATTGAACCCTGGGCCTCTGCACTGAGCTACATCCCCAATTTTTCTTTTTTCACTCTTTTTCTGGTCCCGGGAGTCAAACTCAGGACCCTGCACTTGCCAGGCAGGTGCTTGCGCCACTGAGCTATATACTCAGCCCTATCATCCATTTTTGAGACAGGGTCTCACTAAGTCATTACACTGCCCAGACTAGGCATGAACTTGCAGTTCTCTTGCCTCTTAGCCTCCCAGAGTACTGGGATAACGTGTGCACCAGTACGCCCTAACAGTACTTTGTTTTCTACATGTTATGAAGCAGATACAGCAAATCATGAAATAAACTAATACATGAAATAGTTGAGAATTTTGTCTATATCCAAGAAAGACTTCCATTCCCAGAAAGTTTCAACGTGGTATGGCGGCCCATGCTTATAACCACAGCACTCAGGCTGAATAGGTGGATCTTGAGCTAGAGGACAGCCTGGGGTACACAGGGAATTCAAGGCCAGCCTGAGCTACAAAACTCTGTCTCAAAAAGCAAACAAACAAAAACCCCTCAAGATGACAAAAGGAGAAATTCTTGTCGATAGCTCAAAAAATAAGAATTCTTTAGAAAAATTTCAGTGATAAATGTTGCATTCAATGAATTTGGCTTTGGGGGAAAAAAAATCTTCACTTTCCGTTCTTAAAGAGAGTTTGTTCTTTTACATAACATTGTAAATGTACCTAATGTCATCTAACTATATACCTAAAAATCAGCTGAAGTCATAAATTTCATGTATGAACCCCTCCCTATGCACAATAAAAGTTTTTTATTTTATTGTGGGTTTTTTTGTTGTTTTTCTTGAGACAGGGTCTCATTTTATAGTCCAGGTTAGCCTCTAACTCATTGTTCCTGCCTCACCCTCCTGGGTGCTTGTTTTGTTTTATGAAAAGCTTTTTATTTTTATTTATTTATTTTTTGGGGGGGTACCAGGAATCGAAATCAGGACCTTGCGCTTGCCAGGCAGGCGCTTGTGCAGCTGCGCTATATCCCCAGCTATGAAAAATTTTTTAAATGAGAGGGCCATATATCTGTTTGATACTATGAAACCTATCAGGTCCAGAAAATACAGCAATTTGTTTTATTTTTCTGCAAAACTGACAATTTCTTCTATTTTTATGGTTTGCTTCATACAAATTACAAACAACAAAACCTAAGATATAAAAAATTCTTTAAAACTGGGGTTTTCTGGTTTTGTTTATAAACTTTTAAACATATAAAATAATTAAATTATTAATTGCTAAATAAATTATTCATTTTAAATAATAGACCATATAAGGTTTGTGTGTATGTGTGTGCGCGCGCGTGTGTGTGTGTACCAGTGAGCTGTATCAATCCTTTTTTATTTTGAAGCAGGATTGCACACTAAATTGTCCAAACTGGCCTTGGAATCTGTGATCCTCTGGCCTCAGCCTCCAGAGCTAGAGTCATTGACGTACTCCATCATAGCCAGATAAGGTCTTTTTAGGGCCACGGTAAGCCACATATGTAGTCTGATGTTCTTAAATAACTAATGAGTATTTTTAATTTTTATTTTTTCTAAAATTTCCATCTATTTTTCATCCAAAGAAAATATTTTGTTTAATGGGACTCTATGGTTCAAGAAATTTAGTCTCTCCATGTACCCTAAACTTCTTTATCACTTATTTTCTTATTTTGTGCTCAGTCAAACTAAAATTCTGCTCAGACAGCTGAATCAGGCAAAATCAAAAGATAAGGTCAGGAGAAAAGAAAAAAAAGGGGATTTAAAAGTTTTAATTTGGGGGCTGGGGATTTAGCTCAGCGGCAAAAGCGCCTGCCTGGCAAGCGCAAGGTCGTGAGTTCGGTTCCCGGTACCGGAGAAAAACAAAAAAAAACAAAGAAAAAAAAAAAAAAAAAGTTTTAATTTGCATTACTTTATAGGAAATAGAGCACTGTTTAGAATAAGATTTAGTTAAATGCAGACATAAAATATTTGGGGTTAAGATACTATACGGTATACATATTAGACCTGAACTATATAGAAAGAAAAAAAGATTAGAAAGCTATTTAGACAGGTATAGAGTATAATTTCTCATTTTATCTTCTTTTTGGGGGGTCAGCTTTCTTATTTTATCTTAAAGGACCACAGATGAAGAAGCAGAACTTACTGGTACTTAACTTTATTTATTTTTAAAAGTTTGGAGCTAGGAATTGAACCCAAAGTCTTCACAGTGATTTTCATCCTGGACCCTTTTTGTTTATTTTGAAACAGGGTCTTCCTAAGTCACTGAGTTGCCCAGGATGGCTCTAACTTCCAACCCTCCTGCCTTAGCCTCCCTCAATGTTGGGAATACAGGTATGCACCACCACAGCTGGCTAAGAACAAGCTTACTAATAGCATAAATACCTCTCCATTAGTCATCTTTCCCACTGCCGGACAAAATACCTGGCAGCCACAACTGTAAGGAGAAAAGGTTTATTTGGTTCAGGTTTTAATCTATGGTTGGCTGGCTCCAAGGCATGACAATATGGTAGGAGGGCATGGTGAAACAAAGGTACTTAGATCAAGGGCACCAGGAAGCATAGCAGGGAACCAGTGCCAGAGAGAAAAGGACCAAAGACCAGATACAGTGCTCAAGATCATGCCTCCACAACCTACTCAAAACACAAAGAAGTATGCTTCCTAATCTTCCTAGGAAGCGCCCAAGCCAATGTGTGTATGTATAACAGTTAATCTTAATTAACAACTTAATTCAACAACTTGTTTTTAAAAACCACTGACAAAATGAGCATACTTTTTAAAATGATACACTAATTTCTTCAACAGACATCTCCTATCCATAATCACCATGGTCACAAGGGAATAAGAAAACTCTCAGAACATGGCTTCAAAAATACCTCTATTTCTTTGAGGATAGATACTGGAAAGAAGGAAGAACATGTTCAAATGGGAAGGGAAACAAGGCTGGGGGGAGGGAAAACAATGGAAGGATAAAATGGAAACAAAGCTTTTATAAATAAAGACGGGTAGAGGGGCTGAAGGGAGGGGAGGGGATTGGGGAAAAAAAGGAGCAGTAAGATATACCATGTACAGGTACAAATTCGCTATGATCAATGTTCTCACTATGTATACCTATCTCCCCAAACACCCAAATACACACACACACACACACAGTCTCAGCATGTAGTTCAGGCTGGCCTTGGACTCACTACCAAGACTACCGAGCCCAGACTACCCTCAAACTCAGTGACTGTCCTTCCTCAGCCTTCCCAGTGCTATGATTATAGGTATGTGCCACCATGCCCAGCTCACTATGTATATCTAAAATGTACCAGTAAACTTTTTTTAAATAGATATATTATGTACGGTACAAAATCCCTGTAATGAATGTGATCATTATGTATGACAAATATGTATTAATAAAAAATAAAGTTAAAGGGGCTGGGGATTTAGCTCAGCGGCAAAGCGCCTGCCTGGCAAGCGCAAGGTCGTGAGTTCAGTTCCCGGTACCGGAGAAAAACCAAAAAAAAAAAGAAAAGAAAATACAAAAAATAAAGTTAAAAATATATCGTTACTCTTTAGAAGTAATTCTCAGTATAAAAAACCCTCTATTTCTTACTGTTCTGATAATTATTTGTTGCGATCATAATTAATCAAAATAAAATTTTACAAAAAGAATTCATTCTCTCTTTAGTCCATTTGGAGTTTTAAATTACAGAAGCCACTGTGTGTATAAATGTGTGTATGTATCAATAAAAACATACTACACCCCTCAACCCACAGTTTTGTTTTCCACAGTTTCTGTTACTTGCAATCAACTACAGTCTGAAAATAGTAAATGGAAATATTCCAAAAATTCCAAAAGTAAACAATTTGTAAATTTCAAATTGCATGCCATTCTAAGTAGCATGATAAAACTTGGTGTCCTGATCTGCCTTGCACAGGACATGAATTAACCCTTTTGTCAGTGTATTCACACTATATATATGCTACTCTCCCATCCGTCACTTAGCTACTCTCAGTCATCAGACAAACTGTCATATCACACTGCTTATGTTCAAGTAACCCTCGTTTTACCTAATGATGGCCCCAAAGTGCAAAAGTAATTACACTGACAATTCAGATTCACCAAAGAGAAATTGTAAGGGGCTTCCTTTAAGTGAAAAGGTAAAAGTTCTAAACTCAAAAGTGAAGAAAAAAAAATTATGTTGAGGTTGCCACTAATCATTTACTGTGCCTTATTAAACTCTGTCACAAGTATATATGTATAGAAAAGCATGGTGGATATAAGGTTCGGTACTATCCAACTTCAGGAATCCACTGAAGGTCTTGGAATGTATTGCTTCACAGATAAGGCGGGGGGGACTACTGTCATTATTGTACCAAAATGGTGAAGTTTGTGAAAACTTTAAAATTTGAGTTGGAGACAGGTATATCATAGAGTCCAGCTTAAACACAATAGTCAACACAGTCTAACAAAGTGCACAAGGTTTGTTTGGGGAAGAAAATTATGAGAAATGTAACAGATTTCCAAACAAGTTAAAAGATTATCTCTAAACCATTAACCAAAATGATGTGCATACTCATCATATATACTACCTAGGACCCCCAAACCTTGTTATAGTTAAAACAGACCACACTAAGAAAAACAGTAGATTCACAATACATTTCCCAACTGGGTGTGGTGGCACACCCTTATGATCTCAGCACTTGGAAGGCTGAGGTAGGAGGACTACCATGAGTTTGAGGCCAGCCTGCACTACATAGCGAGACCCTGTCTTAAAAAAAAAAAAGAATAAACCTCCCACTGGTTATCAGCATTTCCTGCCTTAGGTAGCAGATTTCATCTCTTTGGTCTCAATGTTAGTTTTCCCAGTCTTTCCTTCTGAGGGACTTTTGTCTGACTGGCTGAAAGCACTAATTTTCCTCTCTGAAAGCAAGAACACTGGAATACAACATTTAGCTCTCAATAGCTGTAATTCCTGATTTCAAAAGCCCCCATCTGAGGTAGAAGAAAATGAAGTAAATCTGTATGGAGGATGGAAGGGGAAGAAAAAAGGAGGAAGGAAGAGGAAAGGAAGTGGTAAAGAGTCTAAAGGGAGGAGGATGATTTACAGTATGTGAATTTCTGGACCTGTGGCTACTGAACTCTATCCTATCCTTCCTCTTTCTGCTATGAGTTTTTGAGCCAGTACATGATCCTTCTTGATTAAATTTAGTTCAAGGACTTCTAGTACTCAAGTTAGTTCACGACTTCTAGCACAGTCCTGACTAATATAATGGGAAGATAGAGGCAAAGGAGACCTGGTTCTGTATTGAATGACTAGCACAAAAACTTTACCAAGGTACTTCTCCATGTTTCAGTTTTCTCATCTATAAAGAATTCAGTACAGTACTAGGCATAATTAACATCGAGAAAAGATTTTAGAATTGCACTTTTCTAATCTTCAGAAAATACCTGGGCAAGGTGGCACATGTCTGTAATCACCCTGGGGAGCGAGGCTGGGTGATCATTAATGCAAGCCCAGCCTGAGTAACTTAGTGAGACTGCTTCAAAACAAAAAAGGGCTAGGCAGGTACCTCATTGCAAAGGCCCTGGCTTTAATCCCCAGTACAACAACCACCAACAAAACAAAACCACCAGAAAAGAAAATGTATTTGTTTTTCTAATCTTGCCTGTTATAATATCACCTCTTAAGTAGCATCTTAGTTGCTTTTTTTTTGTTGCTGAGACAAAATACCCAATATCCAAAATTAAAGGAGGGTAGGTTTTTAAGATTTCTTTAGGCTCAGTTTATGGAGGTTTCAGTCCAGGTAGGTGGCTCTAAGGCAAGGCAGCATGGCAGAAGGGCATCCCAGAGGAGAAACAGTCCACAGCAAGGCAAGCAGAAGGCAGCAGCAGCAAGCCTCCCTTTCCCTTTTATCCCACCCAAGCTACAAGCCTTTTGAATGGTCCCACACCCAGAGCTACGCTAAACCAATCACCAGACTAATCTAGTACACACACTCTTAATCCCAGCATTACACTAGATCCAGCCACCTCCAAAGAGCCCCACTTATCACCCCATGAGGCTTTGTAGAGACATCTAGATAACAAGCCATAACAAGTAGATAGTATTTTGAATGCTAGAAATTTTATGGTAAAATTAAATGTTTCTAAAAATAGAAGCAGGCACTTCTGTCTTTTGGGAGAAAAGGTTAAAACAGTCTCAGTCTCCAGCAAATGGTGGTCTGGAATTCTCAATGATCTTCCTGCTTCAGTCTCCTGAGTGGTGCAATTACAGGTACGTACCACCCCATCCAGCATGCATTTTCTAGTGAACAAAACTTAAATGTACGCCGTATTTTCACTGGTTAATACAGTATCAGAAATCTACTCCTAACTTCAATTTTTTCCCAAGTATTTAGCAACCAAGTTAAGGTATAGGTTCATCTATAATTTGTTATAATGTGCCAGTTAACTTTTGACTTAAATTTTAACCACATGAAGAATTAAAAAACATCTTGCAAATTGCCCAAGCTGGCCTCAACCTCATGATCATCCTGCCTCAGCCCCACAAATACTGTGATCACAGGCATGCACCACCAGAGCCAGTTAAAATTTTTTAAATTTTGGAGTTACTAGGACTAAGCTGGTTCTCAAGGATTTTTTTTTTAAAACAAAGTTATTGTTATTTTTGTGCATGGTACTGGGTGATTGAACTCAGGCCCTTCACACTAAGCTACCTCCCCAGTCTTTTTTTTATTTAGCGATAGGGTCCCCTTAAGTCACTGAATTTTGATTTTCCTGACTCAGCCTCTGAGAGTGCTGGGCTCATAGCCCTGTTTCACCACACCCAGCTTTAAGTTATTTTGAAAATGAGCATTTAACTTAGAGAATCTATAATTTATAAAGAAAAGTTCCTTACTTTGCAATGGATTGACAAAAAGCTGCCACCTCCTCATTCTGTACTTCAATTTCTTGTAGAAAAGAACTTCCAGTTGGCAAACTACTGGTCCCATTTGAGTCTTTCTGTAATTAAAACAGTGTTTTTATTTTCAAAGTGAAAGATCTCTAAAATGCTGTGTATTAGCATAGCACAAACATATCTTTATGAAAGTATATACAAAGTTATGGAGATAAAACATATCCTATTAGTAACAGAATTGCAAATTACGGATTTCTACTTTCTAAAATACTGAGCCTTATTTTAATTTCATTGGTTTTACTTGCTCAAAAGTAGGAAACAGGCAGTATTAAGTAGTAATAATAGAATGTTAGAGATTTTTCCATTCAAAATATTCCTGAAATGAACGCTTCAGTAAGTGAACAGACATATAAAATTAAAAGATACCTTCTATTTTAAGAAAATGATGAGATCAAGCCAATATAGGACTCCTCTAATATCAGGGACTCTAGACCCTACAGTCTAAGAAAATACTTCAGGTAAAAAAATGAGTTTTAGAAGTAAATAGGCATTTTCTCTATGTTAATAAACTTACATAAACATCCTATCATCCTTTGAAAGTTTAATCTGGCCAAATTTTGTTTGCACCATCAATTTACTACCCAAGGATAGCCAAAGAGCAGAGTTCATTTAGAGGAATTATGACACCCTACAAAAAATAAATATTTTATTTGGCACAAATTTTACATGTAAATTTCCTTTAAAAGTAAAACTGGAGAGTTGGGGATACAGCTCAGAAGCATAGCACCTGCCTGGCAAGCTGAGTTCAATTTCTGGCACCAGAAAAAAATAAAAATAAAAGTGGAACATTCTCAATTCAAAACTAAGTAAATAAAAAGAGTGTATAAACTTCAACAGTTGCAACAGATTTCAATGGCGATCGCAAACAAGAACTTTGTAATTTATATTTTTTTGAGACAGTGTCTCGCTTTGTCCAAACTGGCCTTAAATTTGTGATCTTCCTGCCTTGGCCTCTTGAGTAGCTGAGATTACAGGTGTGCTTCAGCACATTCAGTTAAGAAGATTTTGATTAAACTGAAAATTTAGGACAGTTCCTTTTTTTTTTTTTTTTTATTCTCAATGGTTGTCGTTGAAAACACACAGTAACAAACATACACCCATTTACAAAATAGCATAGGAAAAATAGAAACATTACATAGTTATGGACAGATTGGTAGGAAATCATCAATGGCTGCTGCAATACATGCTGGCATCCTCAAAGTGGCTTCTCAGGAAAACAAAGATATGCAAGAAAGATCCAACAAGTAGTTACAGCCCAAGGGTTGCGAAAAACAGCGGATTTTAACTCCCCTCACTGAGGTGTGACAGCTGGAAGGAAGGCCAGGACTAAAAAGGACCGAGAGACCAGCACCTGTGTCCAGCAACGGGCCATCCACTTTTTCCTCCAGAGTCATGACCCCGCGGGGCTCCTCCCTGGAGACAATGGTCCGGCCAGAGGGAGAAGGCAGAGTATGCCCTGGGCCCCCCTTCATTCCTGCCGGACCAGCTGGTAGAAGGGGTCCAAGCCCCGGGGGGCAGGACAATGCCTTTATAGGTTTTCTTTTTGTAAAACGTGGCAGAGCCCTTTCTTCTAGAATGTGATATAAATATTTGGGAGCACATGAGTAGTGGCGGTGTGAAAGTGGGGATACCTTCAAATTTACAAAATCACAACTAAAAACAGGGCTCTTGAAAAAAAGAGTTAAGGACCAGTACTAAAAATTACTGTAGAACAACTAAAGTTCTAACTAAAACAATAAAAGTTTTTATAGAAGTACTAGCACAGCTGGGTATGGTGGCTCACACCTGTAATCCCAGCACTCGGGAGGCTGAGGCAGGAGGACTGCTGTGAGTCCGGGGCCAGCTGTGGCTACAAAGTGAGTTCAATGACAACCTGAAGTGCACAGTGAAACCCTGTCTCAAAAAGACAAAAAAAAAAAAAAAAAAAAAAAACTAGCACAAAGTGTCTGCTCCAACTTGCACTGAGCATTATGGTTGCTGATCCTTTGACATGTAACAATGTGGCCCTCTTGCTTCTTCATTGAAAATGGCAATTCTTCTATACGTTTACTTCCTGTCAAGATCAACTGCAATGAAGATAAAAGTATAATACAGGGCATAGAACTCTTCACTCAACCAAGAGAAAAGTTCTTAATTCAAAGGGAAATGCTGTCCTAGCTTGTTTGTCTATATTTACTATTTGACTTTTTTTTGAGACAGTGTCTCACCGAGTTCAAGGTGACCTTGAACTCATAACAATTCCCCTGCCTCAGCTAGGATTACAGGTGTGTGCCACCACACCTGGCCTCACTAGTTTTAACACTGTGGAATGTGAAACCATCTTCTTGTGTCGTGTGCATTGTGGTGCTGGGGACTGAACACAGGGCCGTGGGCAAGTACTCTAACAACTGAGCTACATCCTTAGCCTGGAACCATTTCTAATCATTTTCTATAAAGAGAAGACTTTTGCAGCATTTTTAATATCTTCCTCTTAAAAAGCTTTCTCTTAAACTGTAAGGTTGTTATTGATTGCTTCAGGACGTAATATGCTGAGAAAGTTATGTTTGAACTAATGACACGCTCAACCTGCTCATTGAACTCAGTCTGTCTCTTCAGGGGAATACAACTGTGCTCACACTGGCACATATAATGCCTGCATTCAAAGCCAAAATGAAACTTGGGGGGCATCAAGTGAACACTGGGATTTCTGACATATTTCAGACATTAGCATAGATTTTGAAAAAGACTGAGCCAAAGCCTTCTTTCTCTCATCTGGTACACAAGCAGCATTTCAGCTTTCCAAACAGTCTGAGCTTGGCTTCCCAACCACAAAAGAACCCTGAAGTGGTGCCAGATGGACTAACTTTGCCCTTGCTACGAGAGAAGTAACTACAAACGATTGTGGCCTTAAAAATACGTTTGCAGCTGGGGATACAGCTCAGCAGCACAGTGCCTGCTTGGCAAGCGCAAGGTCCTGAGTTCAACTGCCAGTACCAGAAAAAAATTTATTTTGAGCTGGACATGGTGGCGCATGCCTGTAATACCAGCACTATGGAGGAGGCTGAGGCAGGAGGATCACTGTGAGTTCAAGGCCAGCCTGAATTACATGGCGAGACCCTGTCTCAAACAACAATATGTTTGAGACAACCATAAATCTGCATATACTCTGCATTAAGGTCAAAACAGAATATCCTGAGATTGCCACAAAAGCACTGAAAAGCCTGCTTCCACTTCCAACGTTCTATCTTTGTGAAGGAAGATTCTCTGCGGTGGCTGCAACCAAAATGAGAATACAGGGTAGACTAGACATAATCAACACTTTAGGTGTCACCATTTTTCAGCACTTCAGTGAGACTGTCTAGCTGCACGCAAACAAGCTCAGGACTCCTACTCATTCTGTATTAAGGTGAGCTGTATAAGTATTTCATTATGGACTACAATGTAATAATAATGGAAATAAAGTACATAATAAATGTAACGCACTTGAATCATACCCCACCACTCCTACTTCTCTCCTTTGTCCAGGAAACCAGTCCTTGTTGCCAAAAAGTTGGGAATCACTATAGAAAAACCTGTTCTGCTTGATCTAACAACCATCTTTCTTTAAAATTCGTTCTTCATGTTTTACTTAAGAACAGCGGTACTTTTAGATTTTTTAATTAAAAAATTTGTATTTTTTGTAATGCTTTTCCCACATTAGGTCCTCCCTTTCAAGTTATGAGTTTCAATCAACAGTGACAAAAATAGACTATAGTAACAGATAGTCACTCGTCATAGTAACAATCTAGAAAGTTAAGTCAAATGTTCTCCCCAAAGAGCAAAAAATGGGGTGGGGGGCTGCCAATTATTTCACCTGATTAACATCAATATTTTAAGGGGAGAGTTCCTCTCCTGTTTCTGGAACAACAAAAAAATTTTTTATACTTTTCCTAAGCCAGGCCCTCCCCACAACTCCATAAAACAATCATAAGCATCAAATCGTCTCTTTTCTCCATTAATCATTCACAGACTTTTTTATGTGGCATTTAAGGCTTTTCACTTGTACTGCATTTATATAGACTCCCTCTTCGGCTCAAAGTTCTTTAAAGGTGAGGTCAAGAAATGATTAATTTTTAACACTAACACACTCTCAAACATTTTTCTAATAGAAAGCATGGCTGATCTAACATTGACTTTATCATTGCAGCTTTTCTGCGACTAGAATGTTACAATGTAACAACTGAGATTTTTCTAATTTAATAATTTAAAATTATGTAATGTTTATAGAGTTTTTGTCTTAAAATGTCCAGGTCTTAAGAAAAAGGCAGTTTACAGTGTTTTGTTTGCAGAGTCGTATCTTTCTCATACAATGTAAGTCTTCAAATCTACTATGTGCTCCCACACCTCATTCCTCAGAAAACAAAACAAAAGCCAGAAGTGGTGGTACACACTTGTAATCCTAGCACTGACACTAAGGAGGCTGAGGCAGGAGTAATGCTGTGAGTTCAAGGCCAGCCTGAACTGCACAGCAAGACCCTGTCTCAAAAAACCAAAACAGCAGAAAGGAAAATAAAGCATGTTTGGTAAAATCAGAGAAAAGTGCTCCAACACATTAATTTCCTGAACTCAACTGTTGTACTAGTCACCATTTAAAATATAAATTACTCTTTGGTCATTTGTAGTACACTATATATTACAAGAGAGAAACACTACACTTTCTTTCATATTTTAAAGGATGACTTTCAAGAACTGTATTTGGGTACGTTGTTAGAGCAGGATTTGCAGAGTTGGAAAAGAGTCTTGTGGGAAAATGTATTTTAACAAATTATTACACTTAAGAAAAACTGATCATACTGCCTGGATCTGTGCACAACATCGAAAATAAACTGAATTTTCAGGGGGGAAAAAGAATAAAGAGACATAGTAATCAATATTGCTACTGCCATTAGCCAATAAATGGAACAAAGATGTCCTGTAGGAGAAGATACTGAGTTTTCTAATAAACATGCTGTATCTGAAAATCTAAGTGGATATTTAGATCAGCAGCTAGAAAGCATTCTTTTCCTGAAACATTTTATCTTAAAAC